TGTCGGTGACTACTCTGGTCTCTCGAGCTACCCCCAATGGTACGCTCACTACGACAACAACCCATCATTCTCCGACACCAGCTACTACCAGTACGGAGGCTGGAACAGCCCCGCCATGAAGCAGTACAATGGCAATGGCAACGAGTGTGGCGTCAGCGTCGACTTTGACTGGTACCCAGGTAACAACCCATCATCCACCTCTGGTGGCTCGTCATCCGGCAGCAGTGGAACCTCTGGTAGCTCATCCTCTGGCTCGTCGTCCTCTGGCGGCTCGTCGTCTGGTGGATCCTCTGGTTCATCGTCTGGCTCCTCCGGCACATCCTCCTCTGGCTCGTCCTCTGGTGCCGCTCAGCTCTAAACCCTCCCTCCCCTCCACCCTCTCATGAACATGACCATGATCATAAACAACGATTAATGTAATGTTATTTGTTCTTTCTTAGTTGATTATACAGTTCTGTTGCTTGCCCTTGGCCTTCTTGCCCTCTTGGACAAGGTGAAGTGATAGCTTCTTCTTTAGGTCGTCGGGCAACGCATTGAATGTGTCAGTCTGTGCCACTGCATCCATATTCTTGGAGATATAATACTCTGAGTAATCGCTGAGTGTTTCCAAACCCAATCTCATCGATGTCTCATAGATGAATGATACCGAATCCTCGTCCACAACATTAATAATATACTCTTGTACCAATTCCAACATCCTCTCCATATCCTGTTCATGAGCCAGCTCCAACAAGTTCATCGCATTCTCTTGATCAATGTGTAGCTTGGCGGGCGGGGCGGGGTTAGGTAAGTGATCATGGCGGTTGATTGAATGAATGCATACCTTGTCAGTATAGAGATAGTGGAGGAAGGTGAGATATACACTTGGATCAACGTTGTCTATATACAGGGTCTTGTTCAGTGCCTCTTGGAATTGGGACTCTAGCTCCACCTTGAGTTTGTTGGACCTACTCACAAGTATACACTTGTGAGCATGGATTGCTTGGTCCTGTACTCTAATAGTAATATCAGAGTATAATGGATTGTTTACATAAAGGAATAGATGACTGTAGGCGTGTCCAAAGGTGTTGTTGTTGTATTAGTGATTGATGAGATATGGTATGGTCCCGATGCAACACATACTTGGCCAATGAGTATGCAACATTGTTTGAATATAGTCGTCCGAGGAAGCTACTGAGGTCTGGTATACTGGTGAATGATTCGGTTGCATCGATTGTGTCACCTGCCAACTGCTCGACGAATTGTGAATGTCTTGCCATGATGATCTTGTGTGCGTTGACATGCTTGTCCTCATCACCTCCTTCCTTCGCTCGCAAGACCACCTTGCAATCAGTATGTTGGTTGTTGAGGTATATTGAATGAATGTCCTTGTCATAGGTTGACTCTCTAACCTTGACCAATGTTGGATAGTCTACAATGAGATGAGTGAGCATCAGTATCAACGATTGATTGATTGATTGATCTATCAAACATACATCTTGTGGCCATTGATGACCTGCCTCCAGCTGCAATGCTCATGATTGTTGAACCATCCTTTCCACGCTGAGGTATACGCATTCGATGAGGTACACTTGTGATGCCGCCAACTCCTTCTGGACCGGTTTGACCATAGTCATTGAGTCCCCAACTGTACAGATAACCTGTTGATGTGAGCACCAGGGTGTGGAAGGCGCCACATGCAACCTTGATCACGTACTCTGCGAGTAGTGACTCTCCAATGCGCACTGGCTTTGATGTGTCGACTGTGACCACATCGGTCATCATACCAAGACCGAGTTGGCCATGCTGAGATGATCCCCAGCCAAACACCTCGCCCTCCTCAGTGACGGCAACGGCGTGTGACATGCCAGTGGCGACCTGAGTGAAGATGCGCTTGGTGTTGCCCTTGGCCGAGGGCACTTTGATCTTGTGTGGACGAGCGATTGTCTCGTCCTTTGATGATGCTCCACACTGACCAGCCGCGTTCAATCCCCATGCATAGAGCACTCCCTTCTTGATTGCAACATTGAAGCCTGTTCCCGCTGACAGACCAGTGATATCAGACGCTCGAGCAGTCAGTGAGTCAACCAATGGATTCAAGTCAACAAACACTGGTGTCGGTAGTATCGCCACGTCCATCTCATTGACCTGATGATGTTTGTTCGCGCCCATTCCATAGACGCATCCCTTCACTACACGTCGCGATCAGTCAGCAAGAGATGAGTGAGTGTCGTCAAGTGTGATGATGATGATGATGACTTACGCGTTGTTAGTATTGTGTGATCTGCGCCACATGAGACAAGATCGACAGGGTCCGTCAGACCTTCGACAAGACGAGGCGTGAGTACGTCGACAAGCTCGCCATGTCCAAGTTGACCACTCTCTCCACGACCAAATGTGTAGAGCTCAAGACGTTCAGTGACAAAGGCGCTGTGGAATGAGCCAGCCGACACTCGTAGGACACGCTTGCTGAAGCTGAGTCGTACGGGTACAGTCTGAGTGCGCTCGTCTGAGAGACCTAGACGTCCGTATCTGCCCTTGCCTGTGGCGTACACCTCACCATTCCTCGAGATGAACAATGTATGTGATAGACCAACTGACAAGTCTCTTGTAAAGAATACCTTTGATATGGTCTGTGGCGATGTCTCTGCCTCCTGTCTCGAATGAATGCTTGTGCCCAACTGTCCCTCCTTGTTCCAACCCCAAGCAACATGTTGATCTGAAGGTGGATGTTCAAACAGATGTCTATGTATACTATTTTCCGACTCTGACATTATATCATATATATATATATATATGTATCTATCTCTATGTATCTTTATGTATGGTGTTATGTTAATAATTACTTCTCGTGATCTTATTTATTTATTTTTTTAAATCATGATATAAATTTAATCATAACCAGAAAGATTGACGGTTTATTGATCTATATATTTAAAGAGCGGAAGGATGAAATTAAATTTTACCGACGGAAATATTTATTAATATCAAGCTGATATGATATACAAATGTATTGAATTAGAAACCCAACAACTTTGAGTCCAGTCTATATTGCCAAAGACATCAACTAACAATCACCTTACACCCTCAACACACCACCCTCCAAATGGAATCAATTATACAACCAACATGGATACTTTCACTTTGTATTAGTGATGATTGAACCAATATGTAGTGTATGATTGTTGTAGTATTACTGCTACTGTTTAAATATATTATAAGTACATGTTACAACTAGGGTTCAAAGGGCAGGGTGCTGATTGTAACACATCCATTGTGACAGTAACTTAACTTTGCATACTTAAACTAAACTAATCTAAACTAACCAATTAATTAATTATGTATGACAATAGTAGTAGTAGAGTAATATTGATATCATTGTTTATTGTAATCGGAATCTGTTGTATTGGTATCAATGCTAATGTTGAAGATGTTGAGATACTAACTGCAAAGTTATTCTTTAATAACAACGCTGAACTTGGTGAAGGTTCAATATGGGATTGTAACAAACAGTTGCTCTATTATCTTGACATTGAAGGGAAGAAGCTATATGTGTAAGTTAACTAAAGATCATCCTGAATCAATCAATCAAAGGACTAACAACATATCAATGTTTGCTATAAATACAGCTTCGACCCAAGTCGAATGATCCAGCATTCATTCAATCTTCCAAATAGACCTGGTACTGTTGTACCCAGAGCCAATGCCAAGGATGGAGAGGTGGTGATAGCCATTCAAGGACTGGGCGTTGTTAGCTTCAACTACTTGACTGGTGAACAGACAGTGTTGGCCAATCCAGAGACATCCTCTACGAATAGATACAACGATGGCAAGGTTGACCCAAGGGGAAGATTCTGGGTTGGTTCAATGTCCCTCAAGAATGGATTCCCAGCTGAAGCCGCCTTGTACTGTGTTGGTATCAATCATCAATTCTCCACTGTGCTCTCCAATGTCAGGATAAGCAATGGCATCGTGTGGTCGGCCGATGCCACCAAGATGTACTACATCGATACGCCAACACAGGGTGTAGACTCATTCGACTACAATGTTGAAACTGGTGCCGTGACCAATCGCAAAAAGATCATCAACATTGAGTATGGATCACCTGATGGAATGACCATTGACAACCAAGGTATGCTTTGGGTTGCTCACTACGACGGAGGTCGTGTGACAAGATGGGACCCAAACACTGGCAAGTTACTCATGGTCATAATGTTGCCAGTCAACAAAGTGACTTCATGTGCATTTGGAGACAGCGACCTGTCCATGCTCTACATCACCACTGCACGAGACAGCGCACCAGGCAGTGGCGGACTCTATCGCATCTCCCTTCAATCACGTGGTATCCGTGGTGTGTCAGCCTTTGCTTACAAGGGTTGAGCTCAACGTTGTTGTTGGATGAGGTGAACGAAAGAATGAATGAAGACGAAGCCATTGACTAAGATACGGGCAACAAGTGACCGGTGTTACGATGCTTTGTTTAACTTTATTTCTTATGGAGGGGCCTAGAGCGAATGAATGGAGACGGACAACTCGCTCTCACGTCGGATCACGCCGTCTATTTGTGGAAGAGGAAACCGAGGAAGTGGAAGATGGTGATGATGGCGGTCAAACAGAAAAGGATGGCCAACCAGACGTGGATTGGGCTCTCGTAGTATCTGCCTGGGGCCCACTCGGCAGAGTGGATGGTGGCGTACTTGCCTGGGAAGACACAGGTTCTCTGGGAGCCCTTGCCTTGCTGGGAGCTACCGTCGTTGTTGTACAGGCATTGACGGCAACGGCCGTTGGTGCAGGTTCCTTGGAACTCGGTGACCATGCGGCTACCGACGGCAAGGTTGGAATCGTAGTACTGGACAGCACACTTGGTGGAGTTGTCAACACGCTCATCAGCAAGGTCAGTGGTGCCTAGAACAATGCACTTGGCGTTGTCGTATGGGAAGTCCTGACATGAACCATACTTGTTCTATTATTATTATTGAGTGAGATAGAAAATGTGATGAAGTCGTTTGATTGATTTGTGATTGTGTGTGAGCGTGTGTTAGTGATCAAGTTTTGTTTTCGTTTGTGATTGATCAATCTATTAACCATTCAATCATTCAATTAGAGACTTACAAGATCGATGGTGTTCACGAGGTTGCAGAACTGGTTGAGACCACAGTCGTTATTGGAGATACAGTCAACACAGTATCCACCGTGGCAATAGGAGTTAGCACCACACTCGTATTGGAAAGTACAGATGTTCTTGTTGGCGGTGGCGACAGCGACCAACAAGATGACGGCCAGCAAAACAGTCTTGATCAACATTTTGATGTTTAATTATATATAATTATATTATAATATTATTTGTAGTATTTATAACTTTGGAATGATTACAAAATGAATGAATTGTGATTGAGGCCGATATGACTCTTTCTTTCTTTGTTTCATTCACACCAGTTTGGTGATGGTCTGTCTGTCTCTCACTCACTCACTCGCTGAGGAGGAGGTTAACATCAGGCGCTGCCTGTTCCAAGCGGTGCAACCCTCAACTGATGTGTGTTAGGTGACCTTACTCACCTCATCAATAAGTGATATTTCTTGTTAATTAAATTAAAATAAATTTGGCGTCCAAACGCTTCATTCAGGTGTGAATGATGAGGTGTTGCGTGTGAGCAATTCACACGCAGAGGCACGATGACAGATCAGCTGAATGATCATTTTCACAAGCTCGTCTTTGTTTCTGATACTGCCTGTTATTATGTGTGAGGATTGGGACGTTAAGTTTATAAATATCTAACGATGTTTGTGTGTGTGTTGTGTTGTTTGATCATCAAATTCGTTGAAAATGTGTGTGTGTTGGATGAGGCTTCACCTTTTTCATTCGTGCACCTCATCCATCCACCTGATGGAATTTTAACAGAATTTGGCATCAAACAAAAACAGTTTATTATAAAAATGGAACAACGACCAAGAGGTGATGTGTCAAGAAGTTTATCTTTTTTTAGATGGGGGGTCTTGATTGTTGATCAAGAAAGGGCGCCATGCATGCCCCTTCACTTGATCTTCTTTTCAATAAATAATTATCCAACCCCCCCTCACTTTATCGTCCTCATTCAGAAGGGCACACAAATATTGATGGTGGTCGTTGTAATCAATAATAACTACAAACATAAATAACAACGATGTTATAACTAACATCAATGTTATGTTCAAGTAAAGTAACGGTTATTAATAATTCCAAATTTGGTTTAATTCAGATCATTCATTTGATCGATTTATAAATATTGGATGGAGAGTTAATTGATTGGATTGGTTGATGATACTTGGATCTTGGACGGGTCAACTCACTCACCAATCAACCAATCAATCAAATCAAATCAATCAATCTATTAATTAATCGATTGATCATAAATGGATTGACCACTTCATCTACTGAAGGTCACTTGGATGATCTTGGCAAGACGTTCGCCAACGTTGTCCATGTAGTCTACAAGGATACTTTTGATCTCCTCTCGGAACTTTGGTTGGATGTCCAACAAGGTGAATGGACGACCACTCTGCATCATCTTGATTTGATTGATCACGTTTGGATATCTCTTTGATGGTACAACATACTCGCCGCTGCCAGCTTCAACAACAAATGGTGAATATCTCTTGTTGGCGCTACTGTCAATCTTGGCCAGGGCAACATCCAGGTCGACCCATTGCTGGGTCTCGTGACACAGCAACTCTGATGGCCGGAACATTGCTTTGTACTTCATCTTTTGGCAATCGCGAATGAAGAATCCCATGTAGTAATAATGTAGTTGAGGCGCTTGCAATGCCAATTGCTTGGTCCACTCAATCTCTGCCAGTGCAGAGTACTTGCCAATCGAGAGGAATAGGTAGTCGGGGTCGTAGAGGAAGTAGACGCTGGACACGCACGATGGGAGAATGTCCACGATGCCCACCGCTATCAGCTTGCCATCCAGTCGATATAGTTGGTGGAATGAGCCAAAGCCCGTCTCGGGTATTTGCACGACCTTGTTTAGCGCGGGGCTGTAGTAGCCCTTCTCTGAGTAGGGCACGTAGATCAATGGCGTGTCGACCAAGAATCTTTTGAATCCCTCTGGCTTCTTTGCCTCGGTCTCATGATGCACCTCTGTCTGGTACCTGCAGTACAGCTGGAACACCTCCTCACTATACTCTGCTCGTCGCAATGTTGTCTCTAGCTTATGCTTGGGCGACACTGGCAATGGCATCGCTGGTACATCCAGTTTCTTGTGTCTTGGTTCACTGCTTGGTGCGACTGGCCTTGTTTGAGGATTATTATGATTGACCGAGTCTTCAACAGGGATGAAGTTGATATGATTGTCTTTGTAATGTACATGTGAGAGGTGAGTGCTCTCTGGCAACAACTTGTTGATGTCATTGTTGATCTCATTGATGACTGCATCGATCAGTTGTTGAACAGTGATGTTGCAGCGGTTTTGTAACATCTTCTTATGTTTGTTAAGTGGACTCATACTGCAAGAGTATGTGCCTCTGTCCTTCTGGAGCCTATGTGCATTCTCTCTGACTGGCGGCAGACACTTTACAATCTCTCCAATCTCCTCCTGTTGTAATGTATTGTTTGACAATGCCGTCAAGCACCTTGTAAACATGTCATCGATGGCCAGTCTCTTCAACATTGCTTCATCATCATTCATTGACTGCTCAGTTGATGATGGTGGAGGTGCCACATGTTGCTTTTGCTGCTGCTTGCTCGTGTCTCCATGTATGTTATCATGTACAAGGTAGTTGTTGAGTCGCTTTGAGGTTTGTTTCTGATCCTTTGCTGGTTTGAATCGGCATACGTCCAGCCTGATAGTGTACTGAGGACAACATGTTGAGTCATTAGAGTTATCAGGTCGATAGAGGTATGTGCCTGACCTACGCCATCCCGTATCACATAGACTCTGATAGTCATCAACAGTGAGTTGCTTTGCACTCATACCTAGGTATCACACTCAAGTTAGTCAATCAATCCCGTCATTCAGTCAAACAGTCAACTGTGTACCTACCATATGATCTTCTGCCTTCTGTTGACTTGTAGCAATAGTGACACTCAGACTCATTGTATCCATATGGATATACATATGACTTGTTGGGATCCATGTGTTGTACAGATACTATTGCTTGATTGATTGATTGAACGAATGAATGAATGGAGTGAAATGAACATCCCTCAATTTGAAGGTGTTGTTGGGTCGAGAGTGGTCCTGGGGTTGGTTGTTGTTGTTATCCAAGTTACAAAGATTGGGTCGCATCGCGCGAGCTTTATTTACAATTGAGGGATGGCCATCGATGGATGGCTGGCGAGCATTGGACTCGACCAACCAACGACGTCATGCCATGCTGCGAGCTGCGCAGTTGCTCTGTGGGTCTCTATAATACTACTACTAAACTACTGCGTCTCTATTACTTTCGAATGGGCGTGACTGGTCTCCCAGGATGCTTAGATTCATAATGTTGCGCAACTTGATTCTCATGTGTAATGTTGGCCTGTTTGTGTTTGAATGATTGAAGTGTCAACAACAGAACTCGCGAGTCAATGAACTCCTACGACAACAATGACCTACCATGCAGACATTACATTGAAGCTTAAATGCAGCAGCTCTGTGCTCGATCTGGCTTCCCTTCTGATCCTGTTGCTTCTCCTGGTTTCTCTTCTGAGCGTCAATCTTTTGAATAGAGTTGAGTGAAGTGGAGGTGTAAGTGTCTTACATGAATGAGATAACATCAAATCTCTCTCTCTCTCTTCTCTCTCACTACTCTCTATCACCAACCTTTTGCTTTCCTCTAGTCATGTTTGTTTGTTTGTGTATCTGTATGCACCTTGTTGACAATGGAGTAACGACAAGTCGTGACCGACTTTAAAAAAATCAGAAAGACACAACTTGTGTTGGACACCAATGATGGCTTAGAACAATCTTGTAATGGTGATGGTATTGTTGGGTTCGAGATTAGTCGGTGACTGTTGCATGGGTAGATGACCTCCTCCCAGTACTTGTAATTGTATAGGTCAATGACAGTGGCGTCAACTAATGTGATTGTACATGGGATGTTGTCCACTGTCATTTGGATCTTGCACTCCTCTGCCTTCTCTCAGGGCCAACCAACCACCCGACGGCTACACACTTGATAGAGTCAGAAGTGATCTCCATATTTGTAATTATATTTGTATTTGTATAAGTTGTTAGCCAAAATTAATAACGTCCAAACTATCTTATTGAGTTGGACCAGATCTTCAGAGTAATGTGCATGTTATCTTATTGCGGCGAATTCTCACTTGACGGACTGCCTCTTCAAGGACGGCCTCGATCGCCTTGCTCGAAAGGTTGGCTGCTTGGAAGTACTTTATGGCTTTAATCTTTAGAAATTCCTTGTTTAGGAGGTCCTCAGTTTCCTTATCGATTGGGCGACTGATGACTAAATGGGGACGAAGAAACTTGGCAATCTCCTTATAGTCTCGGTCGTCATCAGTCAATCCAACCATCAATCGTGGTGTCCACTTGGATCCTCCGTGATAACAGATATGGTGGACATCCTTTGATGTGGAGTTTGGTGAGTCTGGGGTCAATATGATGATTATGTACATCCTTCTCAACTATAGGCAATCAAGGGATACTCACCATCCACATTCGTGGTATGGTATGGAGGTAGTTTGGTTTGCAACAGACCAAGTGGATATCTGTTCCTGGGTAGATGACCTCATCCCAAAGCTTGTAGTTGTATTCGTCAATTACAGTGGCATCAACAAAAGTGATTGTGCATGGAATGTTGTCCACTGTCATCTGGATCTTGCACTCGTCTGCATTCTCCTTCTTCTTCTCAGGGCCAGCATACACCCCACGGCGACGCACTTGATCGAGTCAGCTGGGATCACCATTGTATTTGTATTAGTATATATATTTGTATTTGAATTTGTTTTTGTGAAGCCTAAGTCTTATCATGGTCTGGATACCAAACTTCAAATGACTTTGAACCAAGTGAGGCAGTTCATTCAAGGACCTCCGCATTGCGCAGATATCTTCATAATCCTTCAGGGATATTCACTACTTGGTTGTAATGACGTTTCACAAGTCGGAACAATGTCTAGATTCTGTTTTGATTGACTTGCCCAACATCAGAGCACATGAGATAGATCGATTCCAGGGTATTCGGATAAGCATCTAGGGGGACTTAAGGGAGGTCAAAGGTTCATCACTCAAGTAATTGACAACAAACAAATAATTTAATTATGATTGATTGATTCAATGTTATAGAGAGATACAGATAGATATTATTTGTTTAGCTGTTAACCAAATGGGTGGGTAGTGAGGGTCTGAATGAATACCCTCGATGGTGGTTCATTTGACAATCCCTCTCCACTGTTGATGTAGTTGTGTTATTGGATAGTTGTATCCTTTGTAGCGCAACACACACAAACACATCATAGTCAATAGATTAAACACCACCAACCACTCTAAGTACTAACTCTTTGATGATTGATTGCAGGTGTATACCATACCAATCACACTTGATGTAGTATGTATGATTGATAGATTGATTGATTGAATGTTATAGAGATATAGATAAAAGAGATATAACATGTCATCATCCATACCTTATGAACTAGATAAACTAAACACTGACAATAACAACAATGATAATAATAATGTAATACCTCAATCAGAAGAAGATCCAAAGAGAAAACAGGAGAAGAGGAAGAGATTGATCAAATGGATATTGGTAATTGGTGGATGTATACTTGTGTTGTTGACTATTAGTCTGTTGGTTGGATTGCTCGTACCCAGACATAGGTCGCGCAGCCCACTCAATGTGATCATTATGATTGGCGATGGATTCGGACCGGCCGCCGCTACAATGGCTCGTCTGGCCCAGGCTCACATGAATGGCGTCGAGTACATGCCCCTCAAACTGGACTCCCATCTCGTTGGCACAGTGCGCACCGCTTCATACAGCAGCGATGTCACCGACTCGGCCGCCGGCGCCACAGCCTACGCCACTGGCGTCCACGCCAACAATGATGCCGTGAGTGTCGATCACAACTACAAACCTGTTGGCACGCTGTTTGAGGCCGCCCGCCTCAAGGGCATGAAGACGGGTGTCGTCACGACCACACGCGTCACCGACGCCACACCTGCCTGTTTCTACGCTCATTCAACGACCCGCAAGACAGAGGACTTTATTGCCACACAGATGATGGACATGGACATGACCGTGGCCTTGGGCGGTGGATCACAGTTCTTCAATCAAACAATGTTGGACAAGGCTCAGCAAGTGAATCAATACTCAATGGTGTACAATCGAACGAGCATGCTTCAAGTCAACAAGGGCAAGATGATAGGACTGTTCACGCCACATGACATACCCTACGACATTGACAGGATCAATCAGAAGATGACAGATATCCCCACGCTGAAAGAGATGACAGTTAAGGCATTGGAGTTACTGGCGCAGGATAATCAGCATGGCTTCATCATAATGGTGGAGGGCGCCAAGATCGACCTGGCCGGACACAGCAACGACGCCGCCGCACAGATATATGAGACACTCAACTTTGACGATGCGTTCAACGCAGTCCTGGACTTTGCCGCCAATGACAGGAACACGTTAGTGCTGGCAACTGCCGACCATGAGACAGGCGGTATCACCTTGGGCTTCCAGCCCGACGCACACGTCTACCCCACGTACAAGTGGCTCCCGGATGTACTTCTCAACTTTACCGCGTCAGCAGCCACGATGGAGAAGGAGATCTTTGCCACTAGAGTCAACGTCACTGATGCTAGTGTCGCCACAAACAACTCTGTGATCAACTCTGTCGTCAACAAATATTACAAGCCAGGCAATTGGGATCAGTCTCCCTTCAACTTCACAACATCGGAGCTGGAGCTATTGCAGTCTTTCTGGAGTGCCAACAACAATGGATCGTTCGCAAGCTTCCTCGGCCGGTTCATTGGGGAGCGTGCTCTGGTCGGCTTCACAACCAGTGGACATACAGGAGTCGATGTCAACTTGTACACATACTACTCTGGCGATAATCAAGATATCAAAGAATCAATAGAGTCCAAACTACATGCCAACATTGATAACATTGAAATAGCGCACTATATCCAAGATGTGCTGGAACTAGACATGGACGAGGTGACAGCCTCTCTAGCAAACTTCAATCCAGGAATAATTCCACCATTCCCTCCATCATAATCTCCAATCCAATCCAATCAACGTCAATCAATTCATTCAATCAATCAATATCTTTATTTCCAAGCTTGTATCCACTCGCCAATGACTTTTTGATTATTCTCATTGTCCTCGATTGAGTTGGACTGCATCTCCATTACAATCTCTGGCTTGTACGATGACATTGCCTCCTCCAATATCATCTGCATAATCTCACAATCTATATTATTCTCTATCTTCTTATCATTATAGTTCCTACATTGGTATGATTGCTCCAAAGTCAGTCCATTCCATTCCAGTCCACTCATTCAATCACCTCCATGAATCAAACATACCTCTTGACTAGACGTTCATATAATGATTGAGTATCTGTACGTAGTACTATTACAAGATCGAACCAACGCTCTGGGAACCATTCACAACCGTGATGATCGACAATTACACCACCTGGTGCCATAACATCTTCGAGTTCATCGCATACTTTATCCTCGTCCAGGATGTAACATTGGAACTCTTCGTCCCAACCATCATGTAAATCCTTCTCCTTTACCAATGCCGATATATCCACATGTTTCATTCCATGAGTCGATGACAACTCTGCTGAAAGACTTGTCTTGCCCGTGCCTGGTGTTCCTGTGATCTGTCGGTCCATTCATTCATTAAATGAGTAAGTTTGATTATTTGATTGATTATTTGATTGATTTGATAAATTATTCATACCAATATGTTGGGTCTAGTTCTCTTTGACATTGTATGCTATATTTATGTTATGTATTTGTAGATAAGTTTAAGACGAGTCGTCAATCTAACTCATTCTTTCGTTGTCGACAACCTTCAACTTTCGAAAAATTATCAAAAGGTCTCTTTTGTGAACTCATCTCATTCTTCATCATCATTCATCCAATCAATCATTGACTTGTACAGTTATACATACTTATACATATACATATATACATAGAAGATGCCAAAGTATTACTGCGAGTACTGCGATAAGTACCTTACTCATGACTCACCATCAGTTAGAAAGTCACATAATATAGGAAAGGTACATCAACAGGCTGTATCATTATATTATAAACAGTTTGAACCTGACTATCTTAGAGCAATGAGTGAACAAAAGATGAGAGACATGCAGGCTAGGGGAGGAATGCCTCAGTTCATGCCTCCACAATTCGGTAAGTACTTGATTGACGATCACATGATTGATTGAATGAATGATCACTAATACTCAATCAATCAATCAACCAATTAGGTATGCACCCTGGACTCATGCCACCACCTAATATGATGCCTCCACCAGGTCAGTTTGATCATCCTGGTATGCATCATCAACAGGGTGGACCGTTCCCATATCATAACATGCCACCAAATGGATCACCTCCAATGCATTCACAACAACATCAACAACATCAACAGCACCAACAACATCATCATCAGCAGATGCCACCAAATGGCCCACCACCTCATTGGGAAGGAGGCCCTCCTCATGGCATGTCCCATCATGGTATGCCACCCCAGCATGGTATGCCTCCACCTCATCATGGCATGCCTCCTCAGCATGGAATGCCGCCTCAGCATGGAATGCCTCCTCCACATCATCACGGAATGCAACCAAACAACATCCAATCCTAAGCAAGCACAGGTGTCCATTAAGTTTGGACATATACATATCAATAATCGATCGAATGAATGAGTCAGGTGAGCGAGGGATCGAGTGATCGAGTGATCGAGCTAGCGAGTGAGCAAATAGGTGGCAACAGACTCCAAGCAAGCGAACATACTCATGTTCCTTAATGTTACTACTGCGCAAGTACATAACACATATCTCAATCGCTACTACTCACTTGCTGTAATAAATGAATCCCCCGATACCTCTTTAGTCTCGGTTATCAATCAATCATTTCCAACGATGCAGCTGCTGTCCTATTTTATTATATTACCCAGCCATGCTCAATGAGACGTTCTGAATGTAGACATGAGTCTTTGTTTAGAATGTTAGGGTTTTGGTCGATGGCTGTTTGGAGAACTTGACGCACCCTGGTAACATCTCGGGTTACTTCTGGGTCATCTTCTAGCCTTACTATAGTCAGCTGGATATAGAGACATATTGGTTTGTTGAATAGTCTGACAATGTCATTGAGCATGTGTTCACCGCCATAATGTACTCGGAGTGAGATGGATGATGGGTATGAGTTTGCTCTGGCAATAGAGTCCAAAACATACCACTGAGATTCGTTGACATATCCAAGGTCGACATGGTCAACATGTGATAGTGACTGACTCAATCGAGTAAAACTATGTTGACTCTCTGAACGAATGGTATATCTAAATACAGGAAAGTAATCTATGTCTTCAATCATGGTGTCGTGATCACTCTGCGGAGAATGAGTGATCCCAAGTCGATGGAGTCGTCGACCAATTGGATATGGTAGGTTGGCAAACAGTGTCATGATTGTCAAGTCTTGTATGGTACATGTTTGATCACAGAGGAGGAAGGTCAAGAGTTGGTGACCCGTACCCTCGCACATCATCAGCCGGTAGTCAAGTTTGTAAAGTCGTCCACCACTGGGTGCATGTCGGAGATAGGTGAGCAGATGATCGTTCACCTGCTCCACCTGTGTTTGGTCCAGGTCTGTATCCTGACAGACTACGATTGCAAGACTTCTTAGGTTACAGAGACTTAAGAGGAAACTAAACAATTGCTCTTTGTTCTGGAATATATCAGATGGAGCCAAGAATTTCAATGAGAGTGACTGCAGGGATTGTAGCCATGTTGCACAGATGGGATTGTTCAATGCTGTTATAATAGGAAGAATGAAGTAGGTATTGTCCGGACATTCATAGGGCATACCTTCAATAGTCCAGTGAATACGGAACGAGAGACTCTGGAGTGTAAAATGCGACGCCAAGTTGACAATGTTCAACGCTATTTCATTCATTCTCTCGCCTTCATAGAGCTCGTTGTTTATCACCAATGTCACTGATCGAAGACTCTTGGGTGTATCTGTACCAGTACTCTCCAATAGAATATGCTCAGCGTTAACAAGTGTCGACTTGAACGAGCATAGTTCAGAGAGGAAAGACCGGATTGTCTGGGACATTGAGATATTGAATCGATCTTCCAACGATTGGACAGAGAGATGAGTGATTCGTTCTGGATGTATTGTGAATCGATTGTCGACGATGTGATCAACATGTGACTCAAGATCATTGATCGAGCTGATTCTAAGTCTTGTGTTGATTGACTTTAACAAATGATGTAGTTGCCATGAGACTAAACAAATAGATCTTGCCACTTTCTCCATTTAGAATCTGTTGATCTTAGACAGGACATCAGAGCTACGGACACTATCCTAAACCAAACTATCTGTGGCAACATCATTGACGTGACTATTTATATATAGCCGAGGCTTTGGTTGGAGGAGGTCAATAGCAATGTTTGATCATGTGATCAATTTCGTTGTGGATGGGGACAGAGACTTGGGAGACATCCAAACAACTGTTGTGAGTTCTGGAACATATCCGAGGGCGCCAAGTATTGCAAAGAGAGTGACTGAAGGGATTGAAGCCATGACGCACAACTTGGACGGGTCAATGCTGTTACGATGGGAAGGATTATAAAGGCATTGTCATAGCATTCCCCATAGGGCAACCCTTCATCAGATGTCCAGAATATACTGAATGAGACGCTCTTGAGTGAGATGAGCGATGCCAAGGTGACAATGGATGTCTCAATATCTTCCATTTCCTGGTTGTCATAGAGCACGTTGTTTATCACTAGTGATGCTGACCGCAGACACTTTGGTGCTTCGACTGAGAGCAAGTTCACTGCATGATCAAGTAGCCACGTGAAAGAGAGGAGTTCAGATAGACAAGACCGCATCGCTTTCGTTACTTCCATGTGGAGTTGATTGAACCAATTGACTGAGAGATGAGTGATTCGCTCTGAATATGTCGTGTATCGATTGTCAATGATATGATCAACATGTGACTGGAGTTCATCAAAGGTCCTGACTCTAAGTCTTGTGTTGATTGACTTTAACAAATGATGTAGTCGCCATGTGACCAAACCAATCGATCGTGCCCACTTCCTCCATTTAGTTTCTGTCGACTTTAGGCTGACCTTTATGACAGTGATACTATCCAAAACAAAACAATCTCAGGAAGTGAAAAAATGTCTAAATGGTCACTGTTAGTATCTGACATTCTTATTTGATTGATCAAATATCCCTCACACTGTTTTGTCGACATGTTCCACAGGATTATCAATGATGCTTGCAAAGAGAAGTACGGTAATAGAGATAAATAAAATTCTGTTTTTTGTCCTGAATGGAGGAGAAAGGTATTATTATTACAATGGATTGGAGGAAGGAGTCGGCTAATTCATGGACCAGTCTCTCGATTAATTAATTGGTCGGCAGCACGACTTGTGGCTGAAGGTTGAGCTGTGCCTGTAGGGCATCATGTTTCTTGAGCAACTTTCCAATGGTCTTCTCTGAGATACGATGCTTCTTGGCCGCCTTGCAGAAGGAGAAGATGTCGATGCTGTTGGATTCGAGACATGAGAAGAAGTGCAAGATCTTCTCAAAGCCGTCCTTGCACAGCGTCTCCTGGTTCTGGCGCAGAATGTGGATGACCAGCGTGTGGATGACAAAGTAGCCATTGGTCAGCACCAGGTCCCAGAAGCGGATGAGCAGGGCGAACGGCAGGTTGCCGCTAAACACCGTCAGGAACCATTTGGTGGCGTACATCGAGGTGGAGATGCCCTCGAATCCAAAGTGCGTCTGAAGCTTGGGCAGCTCCTTCTGTATGAGTGTTTCGTGGATGGCGTAGTGGCGATAGAGCATGGGGAATGACGGCAGGAACAGTCCACGCAGTTGATATTTGTCCGACTCCATTAGTGCCACCAGTGCCCAGAATGCCTGCTCCTCCTCCATGTACATCAGCAGTATCGATGCTATTCCACTCATTCCTTGACAGTATCCAACCTCTTGATCATATAAACTATAAGCCTTTAATACATTAAATAATGATTGTTGTCTATGATTGATTGATGGATGTATGAGTTAGTTGGTCTCGCAGACATGTCTTGATGCCACACACACATACCCTTGGTTGAACCTTTCTCTAAAGAATAGATGGTTGCGATAGGTCCTGTCAATGTCCAGATCGATCTGCTTGACAAAGTCAGAGTTGTTGTTGAGTAGTTGCTCGTAGGTCACTTTGGACTTGGCCTGGAAGGTCTCGGGCGTAAGGATCAACTTCCAGAGTTGACCACGCACAGAGTCTGGCACACTCTTCCACGCTAGACGTCCAATCTTGGTCTGTCTCTTGGCGGCCGAGTACTTGGCCCAGCCCTCAATGATCTTGACCCACTTCTTCTCGCACTGCTTCTCGAAGCTCGACTTGTGTCTGTGCAGCGTGTTATAGTACTCCTTTGTGTCCATCCACTTCTTGACCTGCGCAGCCGTCAGCGACGAGTCGGGGAGGAAGCCAAACATGTCTGCATGCAGTGCCTGTGAGGCATCATCCGACTTGTCGCCACTGCCGTCCGATGAGGATGATGATGGGTCCACCTTGGAGACCCTCGCGTGCTCGCCCTTCAGTCCGTACTTGTACCTCAGCGTGACGTCGGCGCCAGCCGAAACCAACATACTCGATATGGTCGGGTTGGCAATGTCCAGCGAGAAGTGCAACGGTGTCTTGTTCTGGTAGTCCTTTACGTTGGCCGTCGAGCCAGCGCGAAGCAGTGCCTTGACATTCTTCGGATGTCCAGACTTGGCCGCGTAGAAAATTGGTGTCTGGCCAGTGTTGTCGGCCGTGTTGACTTTGGCGCCGCGCGCTACCATCAACTTGACCGCCTTGTGGCAGTTCTGATTGGTGACAGCGTAGTGGAGAGCAAGCGCACCAAAGTAGTCGGCGGCATCTGCATTGGCACCCTTCTCCAGCAAGAATGTGATGCACTTGATCTTGCCCATGATCGACGCCAGGTGTAGAGGTGTCTTCTTCTCCCTGTCCTTTGAGTCCAATATCGAGCCACCATTGACCAACGCTCGGATAATCAAAAGTGCTGTGTCGTCGGGCGATGGAGACTCGGCCGCGTAGTGTAGCGCTGTCTTGCCCTTCTTGTCACGTGCTTCGGCCTTGACGCGACGTGGTCCGCGCTCCATCATGGCGGTGGCGCATCGAACACTGCCACTCGTGGCGCACAGATGTAGTGGCGTGCATCCATTGCTGTCGCGCTTTATATGTGCGCCCGAGTCGAGCATGACTGAGAGGACGTCGTGCAGGCCGGACATGGCCGCGCGATGCATCGAGGTCTGGCGCTCCTGGTCGCGCAGATTGACGCGGGCGCCGTTGGACAGTAGGTACCTGACCGTGATGACCTGGTTGGAGTACATCAGGGGTGTGCGTCCAAGCGTGTCGCGGTCGTTGATGTTGATATTGCCCGAGTCGTGGGGTTCGTCGTCGTCGTCATCGTCGTCCTCCTCCTTGTTGAAGCTGTCGTCGGGCGACTGCAGCGTCTGTTGTAGTTGCAGTTGTTGCAGCTGCAGGTCTGGCTCGCCAAAGTGCTCGATCAGTGTTGCCATGTCGTTGTGGTACACTGCCTCGTGGATTGGGAACAGGCCGGATTTGTGGGGAAATGCCTCCAGTGGGCGTCTAGGTTCATCATCATGCTGTGTCTCGATCAATTGATCACCGGCCACATCAATATTTGTGATTCCAGTGCTTGTACTGCTGACATCTGTTGTATGATCCAACATCACTAATGCTGGTTGGTGCTGATGTTGGTTTGTGATTGCTACTGTGGTGGTATCAACATGATCATTGATTCCACTACCTCCTCCTTGGGCCACATCAGCTCCTAGACCAGGTTCCATTTTCTTTTAAATATCTCTTTGGAGAGTGATTGAGCGAGTATGTTACAATTTATAAATAATAATAATAATAATAATAAGTAGGTCTATGTACAAATGATTGATTGATTGATTGATTCCAACAAAATTGGAAATTATGTATGATTGAACTAATTGAATAAATGAATGATTGAATGAATGAATGTTAGTCAGATGATACGTAGAGTGATCAGAAATAGCCATTCATCATCTGGATTGATGGTGATTGATGGTGGATGGTTGGATGAATGGTTGGATGGTCAGCCAACATCGTTGTTGCGCTTTCCAAATATGTTACCCACCTTTAAACAACTATGGATGGATGGATGGATTATGTGTATCACTTTAAAGGTTGGAATGTACGTGTTTGATTAATTGATTGATAGAATGATTGATTGATGGCTATGGATGTGGTTGTTGCTACTGTTTATGATTGATCCTTAAGATGTCTGTTCTGTTTAGTGGTGATCGGATGCGTATGTGTGTGTGATTGAGTGAGTGGTTGTTTGATTGATTGTGTGTGTGTGTGTGTGGATGGTTGATCGGGTGGTCCCGTCGTGATCTAGATTAAATATAGTACAGGTAGAGTATATGTATGAATGTATGTATATGTATTAGTACAATGTTGTTATTGTTAATGATATGTTTGATGTTGGTATTGAATGAATCAATAAACTAGGTGTCTATGCTTTTTTTTGGTGTCTGTCCATTGGGTGTTTTTGATTATTTTGATTGATTTTGATTGTTTTTTGACACCGATGAAGGGTTCTTTGGTCCAATCCCCCAACCTGATGGGCCATCGGTTGCCCAATTGTTAATGGGGGATACCAAAAACATATCTTTATCTGTACTGAGAGACACACAAATATTGATCACACTGAGGAGTCGGACTTGGGAAGTGTAGAAAAAAGAAAACAACTCTTGTTGGAGAACCAATCTGACAATGATCGCTCCAAGTTAGAAATCCGCAGTTTGATTTGAAGTGATCCATCCCAATCAAAATGTTGGACATTGATCTAACTTCATAAACTCCTCAACGCTATCTACAAATACAATGATGGAGATCACTTCTGACTCAATAAAGTGTGTAGCCGTAGGGTGGCTGGTCGGTCCTTTGAAGAAGCAGGAGAAGGCAGAGGAGTGCAAGATCCAGATGACAGTGGACAACATCCCATGCACAATCACCTTTGTTGACGCCACTGTCATCGATGATTACGACTACAAGCAATGGAAGGATGTCATCTACCCAGGAACAGACATCTACTTGCTCTGTTGACGTCCACTCTACCTACATACTTTTTCAAGAATATGGTTGGTGAGTATCCCGCCCGTGAATGCCTAGCCTAGACAACCTCATATTGACCAGACAGACTCACTTCCACTTCACGCCATCAATAGGATTTCTACCATTTATGTAAATATGGAGGATCCAAGTCGACACCACGATTGATGGTTGGATTGACTGATGACGAGCGACAATACAAGGAGATTGTAAATTTTCATCCCTTTTATGTTGACAGGCGTCCAATCGATCAGGAAACTGAGGACTACATCAACAAAGAATCACTGAAGATCAAAGCCATCAAGTACCTCCAAGCAGCCAACCTCTCGAGCAAGGCGATCGAGGCCGTCCTTGAAGAGGCTGTCCGTCAAGTGAGAATTCGCCGCAATAAGAAAACATGCACATTACTCTGAGCATCTGGTCCACATGCCAAGTCAACCAATCTCTTGCTCCTGTGATATAATATTTATATATATACTGTTTATAAGTTTAGTTTCCACTACTCAACATCATCTGTTTCCAAAGGTAGTGACATAGTGTTGTGACAAGTTGACTGGCGTGTAACAGCTCCATTCCATCGATCTCCTCTTCGTTGAGTGATGAGCTGTTGGTGTGCAGGTTGCCACCTTCCTTGCGACAGATGAATGCGTCCGACTCCTTGGTCTGCTCGTCGTACACCAGTTCCAACAACAGACAATCGAGCGTTGGATTGAGAATGAACAGATGCTTGACATGATCGTTGTGCAGCTGGCGGATGCGGTCGCCACACGTCTTGACCAGGCTGTTGCACAGGCCAATCCACACGCTGCCCATGTACTGGAACAGGTTGATGGGCGTCGTCAGCGACATGTCCATCGTCTTGATCGAGCGCCGTTTGATCAGGCTGGTGAACTGGTTGAACTCGGCGATGGTGAGCGCTGGCTCGTAAGGGTTGCCGCGTAGGATCTTGGACCACAGACGATCGCGCTGGAAGTCCACGCTCGTGGCGATCGTTATCTTGCTGAGCTTGGACTTGATAATCTCCTCGTACAGCTGCATCGAGCGGAGATTGCGCTCGTTGTGATCGACCGTGTTGGGATTGAGAGAGGTCGTGAGTTGTTGTTGCTGCGCCGGGTCATGGCCATCAAGTGACGAGTGCATCGATTGAGTGTTGGTGGTGGACGATCGCAGGAGGGGGAGGGTCTGGTGCTGGGTCATTGATTGCTGGCCAGGCTGATCGAGTCGCGGGAATGTTGTGCTGTTGGCCGTCTTGATGATGATGTATTGGAGCTTGAGTTGGTACTTTGACTCAATGATGAGGGTGGCAGTGGTGGGTGGTGATGTGGCCAGCTCCTCATCCTCGTCCTTCTCGTTCACACAGAATATGACGACGTCCCAGTTGAAGGAGACCTTCTGGTCAGGGGCCGAAGCCTGCTGGTCGGGAATGGAGAAGTAGAGCGCGGGCGACACATGCTTTTCGTCCAGATTGGAAACAGAGTACTGCTTGGCGTTCTTGCACAGGTACTCAAACAGTTGGATGGGTGGGATGGGTGAGTTGACCGTCAGCATCGACTCGTACAGGTAGCCAAAGGCATGCGCGGGCGGCTTGGGATAGTATCGCGACAGTGACTGCATCATCTCGATAAAGTACTTGGAGGGGGGCACGGCGGCGGGCTTGGTGGGAGACTTGGCGGGTGAGCCGGGCGCCGTGGAGGGCGGAACGTAGTACGTGTTGTTGTTGTTCAAAAAGTCGTACAGCTGGCGGATGTGGAAGTCGTAGACGAAGGAGTTGAGGTGCAGTTGGTGCGTGAAGCGGCCATACTCCTCGGCAAAGAATGTCGACTGGTTCCTGCTGATGATGTTCTGCAGCGGTGATGATGTGTTGCTGTCCAATGTCGCGGTTGTTGGCTGAAGAAGCGCGAACAACTCGCACGTCACGCTCAGGTCGCGGAATCCAATCTTGATCAGCAATGATCCACCCTTGAACGTCTTTTGCAAGTAGGCGATCATTGATTTGGCCATCGCCTGCATATTGTTGTTGTTGCTGCTGCTTGATTGAGTGAGGTCCAATAGAGGTGTGCTGGCTGACATCTTGAGTGAGGGCACAGTAGAAGCCTGCTGTTGCGCGCTGTCCACGACCGCCACATTGTTGATGATGATGATCTTGGCAGATTGCAATGCCTTCTCCATGTAGTGGATGTACTCAAACAGGAAGAACTCCATGACGCGACGACGCCAGTTTCCGCTGCCTTGCAATGACTGCTCGCCAAAGCTCAGGTATGGCACGGCATTGAGTGTGCCTCGCAGTGGCGCCATCACAATACCCACAACCGATGGTGAGATCAAGTGCGTGTGAGTATGGGAGTTGGTTGTCAACTGTCCATTGTTGTTGTTGTTGTTCCTGTTGGAGATGTGATGGTATGAGTCCTTGTCCAGGTAGTCATCATAGAGGAATGGCACGCAACGGAAGTGAACGAGACGCGACATCTTGATGATGGTCTCAAGGTTTTGTTGCGAGGGCGTCTTGTCCGCGTCGAGGAAGTAGGAGTAGGCACGTGTGATCATTGATTTGGCCTCGAGTGTGCGTTCAACTTGCTGCGCCATCGCCTTGATCTGTCCACCATGCAACTGAATCGGGTCGGTCAGGTGTGGCAGCGTAGACTTATTGATCGTACTCTTTGTGGGATAATGATCGCGAAGCATCCATTCAAACTCGGGGATAACAGACACCTTCTTCTTGGCCTGTTGTTGCTGCTGTTGTGCCTGTTGGGCAGACTGTTGGGGTGTCTGAGATGACGTTGGTGTCTGTAGCTGGGTTGTCTGACCCGGTTGCTGGGGCTGGGATGGCGCTGGTGTGATGTTACCAGACATTGACTTTTGCTTGGTTAGTCGCGATGTTTGTTGCACTTGTGTGGCGTTTGTGCCTAGACGACCTGAGAGCTCCTCAGCCGAACGGATGGTAAGCAGTGCTCCACCAGACTTCTTGGGCACCGATGGATGATTGATGAACGCGTCAACATTGTCATAGGTGAATCGTACATAGTTGGCTGCAAACTGTTGTTGTGGCTTGTCCGTGAAGAATGATGTGACGGTCGGATTGATGGGCACTTGGGGTACATGATTGAATAGACCCATCTTCTGATGCAACACTTGATTGAGCAGATGTCGACGTAGTGTGCGCCATGTCTGTATCCTGTTGAGTCCAGTCTGTAAATGCTCCAACTTGTTCTGGCTCCAATTGTAGCTCATGATGCTAAAGTGTGCCGACGTGATGTTGACGATCATGATTGACTGTCTCGCGATACCATGTGTCAACTGAGCATCCTTGATGGGCAGATAGAACAGCAGGTCCTCTGTGTTGCCCACGTTGATGGGCGTGGCTGTAGTGGGCTCCATCAATGCGTCGCCAGAGGCAGTGATAGGTTCGTCAACAGTCTTGCCACCAATGATGACGATCTGATACGTGCTCTTGTTCAACAGATTGATCTTGACATCGTCGCACGTGTGTTGGCGCTGCTCTGACGAGTTGCCAAGCGTGCGATCTGAGGAGTCAGTAATACCAGGGCCATGCATGCCAGTCGACGACTTGTTGCTTACGCGTGGCGTGACACGAACAAGCTTTGCCGATGCAGACTCTTGGTACCACATCGAGGGGTTGAGCTTGGGATTGACGTCGGCCACCAGTTCACGAACATCTTGGACAAAGTCAAAGGTGGCCCATGTGGGCAGGTTGAATCCAGGCAACTTGATCTCGCTGATGCTGGGCGTGAGTATGCTCTTGCCCTTGGTCATCACGCGCTCGGCATGCACCAGATAGTCGTTCTTGATGTTATCCGACGTGACGGGGATGTTGGGCAGCACAGTCTCCAACAGATACTCGCACAATGTCTGATTGATTGATTGCTGTAGCTTCTCAATCAAAAGTACATTGTTGATTGATCCACGTGTCCATATCTTGAGTTGGATGATGTTGTCCCAGTCCTTGGTGTCATCCGCACCGCCGCCTTCGACCACAGCAGTGGGAACTGAGGTAATGGGTAGTGTATCGCCCAAGTTGTCCACACCCTTGAGCAACGAGTTGATGATGTCGTCCACGTGATGCTTGTTCTTGTCCATGTGGTGGGAGTGATAAGGTGACAACGGGAGTGTCACGTGCGCGGCACCTGTGCTGACATCCACGCTGCTCACAATGATTGTGGCAATACCCTGTCCAATCGATGACAGTGCCGACTGGGAGTTGGTCGATGCAATGTAGTTGTATATGAATGTGTACTCTGATGGCTTGACCTCATACTTGTTGGACGTCTGTGCAGCAGGCACGCCATTGATGTTGGGCGTGGTGACGGTGGCTGGCTGTGACGTGGCAGCTTGAGATTGAGGGTGGGGTATCTCCATGGTGCTGGCCAACGATGTGTACTCTCGAACAATGTGCGCGTCTGCAGGGAGCATGTCACGGTCGTCCTTGGAGGGCAACATTGATGTTGAAGCCGACATTGACGAGGCATTGTCCTTGGAGGGCACCATCTGTGAGCCAGTGAGTGGACCACTGCCGCCACCCTGCGTGAGGTACATGAGCGTGAGGAACTGCAAGAAGTTCTGTTTCATGAACTGGAGGAAGAGATGCGCGTCGTGGACAGTGTCGGGGATCTTGAAGTGGACAATGGTGGGCAGTGCCGTGGGCGGCTTGATAAAGTCCACATCGTGCTGTGTCAGCTTGAGCAAGGGGTTACGCATGATGAGACTGGAGAAGTAGTTGAGCGTCAAGTTGGACAACTTGGACTCGAGTAGCTGGTGCAGCTGTATCGTGATCTCGGGGCCAGGTGGGTCGATACCAAACACCTCGAGCAACAAACAGTTCTGTTGAGGCTGAGACTGCTGCTGTTGTGAAGTGAGCGGGTTGGTTGGATTGAATGAGCCTGAAGAAGGGCGATTCATGAATGAATCCTTGGGTGGGCTGGTCGAGGGCGAGGGTGGGGGCGAGTGTCGCGGCGACTGGAGGGGCGTGGGCGATGGCGAGGTGAGGGGCGACTCGGACAGCACTGATTGTGGCTCCGAGAGCTTCATGTAGAAGACGTTGCCGCCCCGCTCACGATACACAAACATCTTCTTGCGATTGGTGATGGAGAATGGGTGTAGCGTCGTGCTGATCAGTCCACGAATGGCGACCGAGGGCGACAGACGCTCATTGAGCGTCAGGCACATGCTGTAGACGAGAGGGCAAGCAAACTCTCCGTTGGCATGTCCTCGCTTCTTTGGATGCTTGGACGATGACTTGGCCATATGTGCGTCGTCAAAGTGAGACGAGGGCGATGATGTTGCCGCCGTTTGTTGGCTTTGCTTGACGAACGAGACGACCGAGCCAGGTGGCGAGGTGGACGATGATGCATTCTCTGGGACCAGCAACAGTGGACTACATGCGCGGAACTCATCCAACTGATTGAGCAACACCATTTGATTGACACGTCGCACAATGTGTCCGAGCATGTTCTTGACTCGCTCCTTGGTCGTGCCCAGGTCGTGCATGTGATAGCATTGGTACTTGCTCTCAACGAGTCGCGAGTCCAACGATGATTCCAATTCGATTGAGTTAGTCATCGTTTGTTGATGCTGTTGCTGTTGGCCTGGTCGAGGCTTGATCGCGCCACCACTCTCGCCAATCAATGTTGTCTTTGTTGTCGGCGCCACGAATGCTGCTGGCAACACCTTATCGGGCGACACAGTCTCTGAGTAGAACATTACTTTTAGCATGTTCTTGTGGGTGTTGTAAGTAAAGACCAACCAGTATGGGATGGAAACGTTGACAAAGTCGTAGTCCATGAATGTGTTTGAGCTATTGTGAAGACTGGACGCGTTTGATCCGCTGGCGGTGGCAGGTGGAGGCGGCAGGGGTGGTGGCGAGGGCGGCAGTGGAGGCAAAGGTGAGTTGGCAAAGATCTCGACCAAGTCCTTGTGTGAGCAGAACCACGTCTGCTCGCCATCCATTGCCGGCTCAACATAGTGCAGCACGTCGGCAAAGCGATTCAGCTTCATGTCCGCGCCACAATGGTACTCGAGCTGCTTGAGGAACTGTGCCGCGCCCTCTTTGGTGTCGGCCACAAAGTGAATGTGCACATTGTAGTTGTGCAGATGGTGCAGTTTGGAGCGATGATATGTCAGTCGCTGCATGTGGTACAGGACGAGGTCAAGCACGGGCTTGTTGACCGGGCGGATTGAGCGTAGACACGAGAGGATCTCGGACGACACGACCGAGATAACTTGGCGCCTGTGCTCCTTCATGATCGTCGACAGACTCTTTGGCAGACTGTTGCTGAAGCCAATGGGCTGGCTATCAAAGGTGGTCGCGTTCTTCTTGCCGCCCTTGTTGTGATAGTGTTGCACGTGGATTGTGCTGGTGCGAGATGACTGGCTCGCGGGCAGTGTTATGCACTTGAGACGGAGCAATGAGCGCGATGGTTGCAACTCACTCAGTGATGGACACTCCTTGTTGTTGGCTGTGTCATCGTCGTCCACGTGCTGAACCTGCTGATGCTGATGTCCAATGGAGAATCGATACTGATAGGTGTTCAACTCATTCAAGGTGATGGCTGCGGCAGCTGATGTATAAGGGTCTTCGCCATCGATCATTGGCGACTGGTAGTTGCTGTTGTTGTGCAACATCACTACCTCCATTCGCACAAACAGGGGGAATGGGTACAGCTCGAACTGTGTCGATCGCTTGTCCAAGTCGGTGTGCATCTCGCCAAGTATCTGGTCCAACTTCTTCTCAAGTGCGCTCTCGCCAACGTGTGATGCGCCACTGGGCATGGTCTTGGACTTCTTGCCCTTGGACGATTCGCCGTGTCGGCCACGGCGATCACCATCATCGTTGCGCGACGAGATGTTGTAGACATCCTCGTCGTCCACACTGGCCGTGTCATCATTGTCGTCGGCCTCCTCGTCATCGTCGTCCTCCTCATCATTGTTAATGCCTTCGTCATCGTCGTCGTGATCGAGCATGTCATCTTCGTAGCCGTTATAGACGTCTGATTCGTCGGCCACTGTGTCTGGGCCGTCTGGCATGTCAAAGGCAGCGTCGCTCAGTGGCATGGACTTCTTGTGGAAGTAGTAGTCCGAGCCCTCCACTCGCTCAAAGTGATTCTCCATCACCTGTTCAGCAAACTCATTCGTCAGGTATGTGTTGATATCTCTGTTGGACTTTTGGAGTATCTTGATCAATTGGCTAATATCAATCTGTTTGGAATCGAATGAATGAATGAGTTAGTGGCATGCTACACACTGGCATTTGATGGGTCGACACTTACATCTACATAGTATTCTTTACAGACTGTGATGGCGTCCATCAGGTCGCTCGGGACCAGGGGTATTTGGTCGCGCAGGTTGGTAAACATAACCTTGAGTATCGCCCGTTCGAATCCGTTCTTAATCGTTCGAATGTATTGGCGGGTGGCATGATGTTGTGGTGTAGTATGATGGATGCTCTCATGGTAGAGACTCTTCTTTTTACAATACGACTGCTGAAGGACACTCATGTGATTGTGATTCTGATTCTGATCAGCATTCGACTTGGTCGGAGTGAGTTCCTGAGGTTGGACATTGAATATGCTCGAGAGGTATTCCATCGTCTCACTAAATATATTTGATTGATCCATTGATTGATTGAGTGAGTGAGTGATAGAATTGTCTGGATTACTGTGCGATACTTACGATGAGTGAGTGACGTCAATGAATCCTTTGATTGAGTGTTCATAGAATGAGATGCAGATTGATCGTCCTTCTTCGCTTTGACCAATCTTGTCCAGGTTCAATGGATGAAGGAATGTGAATAAGAAGTCTGAGTTATTTGTGGCTTTGATAAAGCATCGTCCGCTAAACAAGATGAATGTGCATGCATGTTAGTATGATTGAATGAATGAATGAATGAATGAATAGATAATGGCGACTTACTTCTTGAACCTCTCACTCTTGGAGAACAGACCCGAGGGCAACTCGAATGCATTGAGTGCCTTGACAATCTCGCCCAACAGTCCGTAGAGTTTGGCGTTTGACTTGATGACCAGCTTGGATTGCTCGGCTGTGATGTTGGCTGGTATGTTGATTATTGGGAACAACTTCTGTGTGACCGTGGAGAATGATGTGAGCGAGTCCAAACAGAAAATGGGCTTGGCAGCAGGCACCTTATACAGTGGCAATTGCGCGCCGTCACGGAATGGCAACACAGTCTGACTCTCTTGATAGAGTATCTCTTGCAACTCTGCCATGGGGTCGGACGACAGGGAGATCAGCAGCAGGTCGTTGAAAGTGGTGATCGCATGTATGATGTGGCCATCCGACTCGCTGAACCACTTCTTCATCAGCGTGAATACCTCTTGCTCGCATGCCGACTTGTTGCCATCTGTTGACAATAAATAGCCCTGCTGGGGCTCCATCCAGAACTCGACCACCAGACAGCTGGGTTGTCGCAGGTAGATAAGGTACTGGAGCGTGGTCATCTGAACGCCACCGCCACGTCTTTCGCATTTGAGTGGCACCTCCTTGAAGAATAGGAAGGTGGACAGGTTGAGCAAGGTGAAGCCCTCGCATAGACGCTCCTGGAAGATGTGTCCCATCACCAACTCGCTGGTCTTGTTGTCGCCCAGGTCGTAGACCCATCGATGACTGCGCATGTAGCTCTTAAGCTCAGGCGTTGCCAGACATGGTGTCTGTGTAAACATGTGGAATGAGCGGGAGGATGTCGCGCTGGCGGTTGGTGCGCCACCAGAGGAATTGCCTGATGTACCTGAGCTGGTGAAACGCGATGTGGTTGGCGGAGACCGGCCCTCCAATTGTGAGGTGGGCTGTTGTTGGCCGATCGCACCACTTATCGATGGGATGCTGTATCGACTCTGATTGTTCTGGGATGATGGTGTTGTGGAAGATTGAAGTGGCGCGTTGTTTGATCGTTGTGGCGAGATGAATGGTGGTGTGGGCGAGACGGAGGGCGACACGTTTGGCAAGGGAATCTGTTCAAAATCGTACTTGACCAATATCCGCTTGAGGTCGCGTTTGAGGGGTTGTACTGGCCGCACAATCTTGTTGGGCGGGATCTCTCTGTCGCCAACGCTTGTGCCAGTCGCTGGACTATTCTTGATCAACTCGTCGTCCAAGTCCATGTCCTCGTCGTCCTCGTCATTGAACGATGAGAGTGACTGCTTGATATGTGAGAGGTCGCGCTTAAGCTGCGAGACCGTCTGTTCGCGAACGGCCTCACTGGTTGAGAAGAAGAGCATGGTGACGTTGGCAAAGCCGGCCATCTCCCATTGGAAGCGCAGCAACACGAATGATGTCGATGGGAAGTGATGGAACAGGTTGGGATTGTCCGGCAGCAGTGGCTGCATGGGTGGCGAGACGAATGATGGCGCTGAGGTTGGCGTCAGGAAGCGGACAAACAGATGCGTGTTGAGGTTGTACGTGTGATTGGCCCACTTGGAGCAATGGCCGAGGAATGTGTTGCGCGACGAGTCGTAACGGATGACATAGGACATGGGCGCCGCAGACGCGGGCATCGTCTTCATCATTACAATGTTGGGCGCCAGCACCACGTTGAATGACTCGGGCCTGAGCCACTTCTCCCATGACTGATAGTTGCCCAGTGAGCTGAGCATCTTGAGGAATGACGAGGCTTGTGTGTTGAGTGCCTGGATCGGATTGTATGTGGGCATGGGCAGTGTTGATGGCTGGCACTGCTGGAAGAGCATGGAGAGAAGTCGATCCTTCTCGCTGATGTTGTTCAGGAATGCCTGCAACTTGCTGACTGAGGGCAGACCCTGTGTGCGCTTTGACGAGTTGCCAGCGCCAGTATACTCTTTCAAAAAATCGTAATACGCCATGATGTCAATGGATACCTTCACATTGAGTTTCTTCTCCAGTGAACCTGCGCCTGTTGTTGATGTAGCCGCGGCTGAGGACGATGACGATGATGTATGTTGGGCGGGATCATCCCTCGCGCTGCCTATAGTCTTCTCCATCAAGAACTTGATCCTATATTCGAGCTTGATGTTGGGCAACCATTGGAAGAGCATGCTCACGCCAAGCTCAGCGTCGGGCTTCTTGAATGAGACTAGTTTGATCGTGAATCCCTCACGGATACGCAGGTCCACCAGTTTGAGTATGTCGACCTCGATTGTGTACTCCTTGGCGTTGGCTTTGAACAGGGGCACCTGGGGAGGGGCGCCCACCCATGGGAACGAGTAGTCGACAGCCATCAGCGTGTGCACAATCGACATGTCGTTGGTGTATGTCTCGACGGGGATGGTTGTGTTCTCTGTGGACGTCGACTTTGATGGATAGTAGTTGAACGCGGGCAGTAACGAACCAAACTGCTGCGAGAGCGTCTGCTTCTGTCTGTCCACGCGATAGAAATATGATGTGCGCTGGTTGCCACCCTGTTGCGCTAGGGCATTGCTGCTCGACGTCGACTTGAACAGTTGGTGCGCCTTGTTTGGAGAGAACTCGCGAACAAAGTATGCATGCTGCACTTCGGCCAATCGCTCGACCTCTGTCTGTGAGAGCAACCCGCTGTCAGACACGGCCTGAAGGCCGGTCTTGGGACAGCGCTTGCCCAGCACCTCGAGCTTTTGCACGAGGCTGTCGGTGAAGCTGGGCAGAGACTGTTGATCAAAGAATGATCCGCCAGTGCTAGTCGTAATGAATCGCAACAGGTCGGTATCGGGTGTGTATCCAAAGTCAGAGTGTGAGTAGACTCCGCTGCCCACCTGTACAAAGTTGACTATAATGTCGCTGCGATTGAACAATGTCACTGGTCCATCAATGCCCTTTAGTTCCTGATCAGATATTGATGTTACTGCGTCCGTGATGACTAATTGGAGATGAGGACGGGAGGGTGAGTGATCATTCATGCTTGAGTGATTGGAATGATTCCAGTACTTACCTGTGATGACTGGACAGGCTACAGTTGGCAGCACTGAGAGTGCGAGCATGCAGTGATTAAAGATTGTGGTGAGGTCGATGTTGGATGAGGGCGTGGATGATGCAGCGCCCTCGCTGGACGAAGCGTCGATGTACTCTTGCGCCACTTCGCTTTCGTATTCGGCAAGCTGGTCGCGCAGGTCATCGAGTAGGTGGAATATGTTGTATTTGGTGACGACGGCACCCTGCACCAGAACCTTGAAGCAGTGACCAATGCCCTGCACGATCACCGTGACATGTATACTGGGCTGGAACTCCAGCGTGTTGGTCTCCATCGGCAGTGCGATCGACATGAGAAGCGACTGTAATGTTGTGAACAGGCTGTCGATCAGGACGGTGCCTGTGATGGGATCGACTGATGCCATCGATGGAGACATGTCGAGATAGAACACAAACTTGTAACTTGATGCAATGACCGATATCTGAGTCTTTGGTGTCATGGCCACTAATGGCAAAGGGTCCGTTCGTTGAATAACTATTGTCTTGTTTTGTTGTTGATCTTGTTCTTGTCTGTCGTCGTCATCATCATCATCATCATCGTAATTGTCGTCATTATCAGAGTCTGATGCATCTGCTTCATTATCATCAATCCTTTCAACAAAGAATCCTTCTGGTTCATCTGCATCCAATGCATTTCCCACGATGCCCTGGTACCTCCTCGCCAGGTCCACAATATCTCCATTATCCAATGCGATGTACATGATCAATATCGGTTCATCTCTGTCTGGTAGCTATGTTTGATTGAATGAATGTGAGTGAGTGATCGAATGATTGATTGAGTAACAACGCCATCAATTGTCAGCTTACCCTGATCTGTTGACTGAGTGATAGTAAGTGTTTGAAGTACCATAAAGCACGATCTGATTTATAGAATGTATAGTCTTTGACAAACAACAAGAGGTTGTCTGCATATCTCAACTCAGACTGATTGAGTGACAGGTGTGGCGGAGGTGATGAAGTCATCATCCTCTGTTGTTGTTGTTGCTGCTGCTGCTGTTGTTGTTGTATTTGTTGTTGTTGATTCATTATCTGGATTGCTTGCTTGCTTGATTCCTTTGGTTTAAACCAGGAGTCTCGCGACGAGTCAATGATCTCTCTCTATCTCGCTATTTGATTCAAACTAATATCATATGTGTTTGAGTGATTGATCAACTGATTGATTGATTGAATGAGATATATATATCTGATCTGATCTGATTGTAATCAATTGATTATGTATAAGTATGTTATGAATGTATGTATGTCACTGACACAAGTCGAGATTGAAACAACTTCACCTCGCTCCACGCAACTTCAATATCATCTTCAAAAAATCAACCAAGTCAAATCAACCCTTGCCCTCTCGTCATTCATTAATTGATTGACTTCGCTTCACTTTTGAATCCAAAGAGAGAGAGATAGAAAGAGAGATAATATAATAAGGATGGACTTGTATATGGGCATAGACTTGGGAACTTCATCAGTAAAGGTTGTAATCATTGATGAAGATGGAAATGTTAGGATTCAACATAGTGAAGTGTTGGAGATGCTGCCACGCACTCAACCAATGTGGTCGGAACAACAACCTGAACAATGGTGGACCGCCACCAACAATGCAATCAAAGCAATAATATCCATTAGTGGACAAGGATTGGAGACAATGAAACATATAAAGGCAATTGGTCTAACAGGTCAGATGCATGGTGCTGTACTGTTGGATGAGAACAACAATGTGCTGAGGCCGGCTATACTATGGAATGATGGAAGAAGCCAACAGGAATGTGTAGAGTTGGAGAGTGAATGTCCTCAAACTGGACAGATCACATCTAATCAACTGATGCCTGGATTCCAAGCACCCAAGATCAAATGGATTGAGAAGCATGAGCCCGACACTTTCAAACGCATCCACAGAGTCCTCTTGCCCAAGGACTATCTTCGCTGGAAGATCACCGGAGTCTTTGCCACTGACATGTCCGATGCATCCGGTACATCATTCCTCGGTAAATATGATACATGTCTCGCGTCTCAATCAATCACTCACTCACTCACTCACTCAATCAATCAATCAATCAATCAAACATGTTAGATGTATCCAAGAGGGATTGGAGCGATGTGATGCTGGCTGCATGCAAGTTGAATAGGAGTCACATGCCCAAGCTGTTGGAAGGCAATGAGACAAGTGGAATGGTGTTGGAGTCGGTCGCAAATGATTGGAATATGTTGTCAGGTGGTGTCCCAGTCGTGGCTGGAGCAGGCGACAATGCCGCCGGCGCAATAGGTCTGGGCATATACAAGCCTGGACAAGCAATGCTATCACTGGGCACGTCTGGCGTGTACTTTGTCGTGGACAAGTCGGTCAAACCAGATCATGTGGCCAACGAGATCATCATGTACTGCCACTGCCTGCCACACATGTGGCATCAGATGTTTGTCATGCTCAGCGCGGCCGAGTGTCTGGACTGGGTGGCGCAGCTGACTGGCGCCACAAGTGTCGAGTCATTGCTGGCCGAGGTGGAGTCGGGCACTCGCGCTTCTACACCTGTCTGGTTCCTGCCATTCCTAAGCGGTGAGCGCAAAGCAGGTGACAGTCGACACAACTACGGTTCATTGATCGGTCTAACAAACGAGCATAAGCGTGTGGACATTGCACGAGCTGTCCTCGAGGGTGTTGCATTCGCCTTTGCTCGCGGCATTGACACCCTCCACGCGAGCTGTACATCCAAGCCCGAGTCGATAGCGCTCATTGGTGGCGGGGCACGCAGTGCCATGTGGCGCCAGATGTTGGCCAATGTAACTGGTCAGACGTTAGAGTACTATGAGGGTGGTGATGTTGGGCCTGCGCTGGGAGCTGCGCGTCTAGCACATGTAGCAATGAATCCTACTAAGTCACTTGACCAAGTCATACCGCCCACAACCTCACTCAATCTTATCCAACGACACATACCCGACCCACAACTCCATCAACAATATCTTCATCTTCAGAAGCACTTTGATCAACTATACAACATCCTTCTACCATTATCATCACTCAATCAATCAATCAAATGAATGAATATGTCAAATACGAATGATTGATTGATCGATACATGTTGGATATCTACTTCTGACTTTGAGTTCGAAGTGTCATCTTGCGTGAAGCGCGTTCCTCATGTGCTTCTTCTTGTTTCATTCGCAACAAACATATTACTACAACGAGTACATAATAGACAGTTGACTAATCTAATACCAATGACAATCATCTTTGTTGTTAACTCTGAGACATGGATGTCTCATACACCTGACTGATTTGATTCCATCGTCAACTTCGAGCACGGTCAAATGGAACACAGTTCCATCTGAATCGTTGTGGGGTGTTCGATCGAATGAGCATGAAAGTGGTGTGAACAGTGTTGGACCCGACTTTTCTATTTATTGGAAATCATTGTTGTTGTCAATAGTTTAATTATAACAACGCAGTGGTATATTCTGATCAAACAACATCAGACAGACATTATCAAATTTCCAAATATCTTATTATTTGTTAACAAAAGATATATATAATCATATTTATATCTAGAAATAACAAATAATTGTAACCCCCCACAACCTATACTCAAACACATAAACCCGATTGCTTCTACGACCCATTCCACACTCGAGGGAAGGAACACACCCTTTTTGGTTCGAACGTCTCGCGGGTTTTTGTCACCTCAACTCAACACTCAAACAAACAAACCAACCCTTCAGATTTGCAGGACCGAAGACACCTGACGAGTCCATCCACATAAATACATCCTTCGCAACACCCACTTCACCATTTACACTTGTGTATCCACACACAACATATACTTATTATCTATATCTATATTATCTCTATAACTACTGGTCTATCCTTTGTAAGGATTGTACAAAGTGTCAAAGAGATATTCATTCATTCATATCATTCATTCAACTCAACTCTTGCATTCAACTTACTCAATACGACTGAGTAATCAATCAATCAAACATATACATTCACATACATATATAACATTTATATATATATATATATTATAAAAAGAAAACAATCAATCATCAATCAAAGAAATAAGAAATGAGTAATCTCCCAAAGAGTAACCCCTTCTGTGGACAGGAGGGATGGGGAGTTTGGCATGGTGGAGACTTTAACACATGCTTCGAGGATACAGTCATTATGTTGCTGCCAGCGGCATTCATTGCAGTGTTTGGCGCCATTCAATGTTGGAAGCTGGCGCTTCGTGCAGATATCCAGACGTTCGCGCAGATGCGTGACCAATTCAAGACTTGGAAGAGGACTTTGCAGCTAGAGGTCATCGTGTCCATACTGCTGTGTGGCTGGAAGCTACTGTTCTTATTCGTCGAGATTGGAATCATTCGTGCACCCTTCATCTGGGTCTACACCATCATCACCTTCCTCCAATGGGCATTCGCCCTCTACATCGTCTTCCTTGAGCTCAAGAAGGGTGTATCCCGCTCCTGGAAGGTCCGATTCTTCTGGGTCTTGGCCTTCATCGTCGCGACCATCAAGATGAGATCACTAACATTGGGTATCTTCAAAGTAAGTCACTCAATCGTTCATTCGATCAATCAACTCAATCATACTAACATTGCTCGCCGCGACTCAAACAGGAAACCGATAGGATTGTTGGATGGGCAGAGTACTTCTCATTTTTGGGAGGATACTTGTTGATCTTGATTCTGTCGATCACTGGTGTGCTGTTCTTTGACAGCGACTTTACTTACTCGCGACTCAACCCGATCACTGGCGAGGCAAGGGCCAACCTCTTCTCCAGGATAACTTTCTGGTGGATCAACCCCGTGCTCAAGGCCGGCTACAAGGACCCACTCGACATGAAGGACGTGCCCAACCTGTCCGAGATGGACTGGGCTCGCAACCTCTCGGAGAAGTTCGAGGCCGCCTGGGAGTACCAGCTGACGCAGCCCAAGCCCTCGTTGGTGCGCGCACTCTCCAAGTCATTTGGTCCACACTTCTACATGGCCGCCTTCTTCAAGGTCGTGCAGGATGCGCTGATCTTTGTCGGCCCATTGCTGCTCAAGGGCGTGCTGACCTTTATCAAGACCGACTCAAAGCAGCGCGACACCTACGATGGCCTGCTCTTTGTCCTGTTCTACTTTTTGGCACCCGTCATCCAGTCGCTCACATTGCACCAGTACTTCCACCGCTGTTTCCGTGTTGGCATGTGGCTCCGCTCGGCCGTCGTCACTGCCGTCTACAAGAAGGCCCTGAGGACATCTCTGCGCGAGGGCACCTCCATTGGTGAGATCGTCAACCTGATGTCTGTGGACGCACAAAAGTTCATGGACCTGTGTCCTTACCTCCACATGATCTGGTCGGCCATCGCTCAGTTGGTCGTTGCCATGACACTGCTCTACTTCCAGATTGGCGTGGCCATCTTTGCCGGCTTTGGCATCATGTTGGTAGTCATTCCCATCAACCTGTACGTGTCCAACCTTGCCAAGAAGAGAATGGGCACCGCAATGAAGCTCAAGGATCAGAGAATCAAGGCTGTGAATGAGGTGCTCAACGGAATCAAGGTGATCAAGCTCTACTCCTGGGAGCAGTCGTTCATGGACCACGTCAAGGACGTTCGTGACCGCGAGCTCGGCGTCATGACCATCATCAAGATCATTCAGGGCGTGGGCCAGATGCTCTGGTCGATGAGTCCAATCTTTGTGTCGGTCACCTCGTTTGGCGTGTTCATCGCACTCGGTGGCAAGCTCACCGCAGCCATCGCTTTCCCCGCACTCTCACTGTTTAACGTGATGCAATTCCCCATCAACATGTTGCCAATGGTGGTCAGCAGCATCATTGAAGCCAACGTCAGTGTTGGCCGTCTTCAGCGCTTCCTCCTCAAGAAGGATCTCAACCCAGACGTAGTCAAGCGCGAGATTAGCGAGCCCAACACCGTTATCAAGGTGGACAATGCTACACTCGAGTGGGAGCCCGGCAGAGAGACCCTCAAGAACATCAACTTCTCTGTCAAGAAGGGAGAAGTCGTTGCCATTGTCGGACAAGTCGGCAGCGGCAAGTCCAGTTTGATCAACTCACTCGTCGGTGACCTCGACAACCCGGTCGGCAGCGTTGCCGTCAAGGGATCGGTTGCCCTGGTTGCTCAACAGGCATGGATCCAGAATGCCACACTCAAGAACAACATCATCTTCACATCACAATTCGACGAACAAAGATACAACCGAATCATCGACGCCTGCAACCTCATCCCCGACATCAAGATCCTACCCGGAGGTGATGCCACCGAGATTGGTGAGAAGGGTATCAACCTTTCAGGAGGCCAAAAGCAAAGAGTATGTTATAGTTGATGAACATGACCCATTCATCCAGTCACTAACTCATCCTACCTTCTAATCCAACAGGTTAGCATTGCAAGAGCTGTCTACAACGATGCTGACATCTACTTGTTTGATGATCCACTGAGTGCTGTGGACGCACACGTTGGCAAGTCAATCTTCACCAATGTTATTGCCAAGGATGGATTGCTTGAGGGCAAGACAAGGATTTTGGTCACACACGGCATGCACTTCCTACCATTCGTCGACAGAGTCATCATGATGAAGGATGGACGTATTGCTGAGGAAGGCTCTTATGAGTTCCTGATGGCCAACGATGGTCCATTCGCATCATTGATGAAGTATCAAGAGAAGACCAAGACTGTCGATGAAGAAGGAGAGGATATTGAGGAGGAGTTGGAGGAGCTCGAGGAGGAGGAGGAGCAGGACCAGAGCATGGAGCTGCCAACACATCACACATCCAACTCTGCAGTCATTGTCGACCAGCCCGAGGACTTGGAGGAGGTTGGACTGATGGAGGACGAGGGTTCATCAAGCTCGCCCGTCGATGACAACGATCGCGTGAGACTGATCGCCTCACCAGTCTCGCTCAAGAAGTCAGCGTCCCAGCTGTCCCCAGGCGAGATCTCAATGAAGCCACTCAGAAAGTCTGGCACTGGTCTGCGATCGTCCACAAAGGGTGCCTCTGCCTCTGCTGGCGGCGCCTCTTCCTCTGGCGGCTCTACTGCCGGTGGCGCCAAGGAGGCCGACACACAGGGCAAGCCTGCCCAAGACAAGCTGATCACCACCGAGACCAGAAACGAAGGAAAGGTGTCGATGAAGGTATACTTCTCATACTTCCGCGCCATTGGATACTTGCTGTGCATAGCCATCTTCCTCACATACGTGGGTACACAGGTGCTGAGCATTCTGGCCAACGTCGTGCTGTCCCAATGGTCCGACTCGGCCACAAACGACGCGAAGAAGTATCTGCTCGTCTACATTGCCTTCTCAATGTCATCAGTCGTCGCCACACTGTTCCGAACATTCGGCATGGTCTACTCGTCGATCAAGGGTTCCAAGATGTTCCACGAGACCATGTTCAAGTCGGTCATTCGCTCGCCCATGTCCTTCTTTGACACGACACCCATTGGCCGTATCCTGAACCGTTTCTCCAAGGACCAGCTCACCATCGACGAGTCGATCTCGCGTACCATGGGCATGTTCCTCAACACGTTCTGCCAGGTGTTTGGCTCGATCATTGTCATTGGCATTGTGTCGCCATTCGTCATCTTGGCCATGGTGCCCATCGCCGCACTGTTCTACTTTATCCAGCGCTACTACCTCAACAGCTCACGAGAGCTCACGCGTCTCGAGTCCATCTCGCGTTCGCCCATCTACGCACACTTCAGTGAGACGCTGGCGGGCGTCACCACGATCCGTGCCTTCCAGGAGACATCCAAGTTTGTTCGCGAGAATGAGAGTCTGCTGGACAACAACCAGAAGTGCTACTACATCAACATTAGTGCCAACAGATGGCTTGCGCTGCGTCTCGAGTTCTTGGGCGCCTGCATTGTCACATCCACTGTGCTGTACGCCGTGCTTGCCAGCATTTCCGGCCACATCCAGCCCGGCACAGCCGGTCTGGTCATCACATACGCACTGGCCATCACCTCCAACATGAACTGGATGGTGAGAATGTCGTGCGACCTTGAGAACTCTGTCGTCTCTGTCGAGCGTATCCAAGAGTACTGCCAGCTGCCCAGCGAGGCCGCACTGATCAACGACAAGCGCATTGCCAAGCAGTGGCCCGACCAGGGTGCCATCGTGTTCCGCGATCTCTGGCTCGCATACCGCGAGGGCCTAGACCCAGTTCTGCGTGGCGTCTCCTGTCGCATCGAGTCCAAGCACAAGGTGGGCATTGTCGGTCGCACTGGCGCCGGCAAGTCCTCGCTCACCCAAGCGTTGTTCCGTATTGTCGAGCCCCTACGCGGCACCATCGAGATCGATGGCATTGACATCACCGAGCTCGGCCTGCACGACCTTCGCAGCAGGATTGCCATCATTCCCCAGGACCCGGTGTTGTTTGCCGGCACCATTCGCAGCAACCTCGATCCATTCGACAAGTACACCGACCTGCAGCTCTGGGAGGCACTGGAGCGCTCACATCTCAAGAACGCCGTTCAAGCACTGGACCTGGGCCTCGACGCGCCCGTCCAGGAGAATGGTGAGAACTTCTCGGTTGGCCAGCGCCAGCTGATGTGCATGGGTCGTGCCCTGCTCAAGAAGGCCAAGATCATTGTAATGGATGAGGCTACGGCCGCCATCGACATTGAGACCGACGCCCTCATTCAAAAGACCATCCGCAGTGAGTTCTCTCAATGCACAGTGTTGACGATCGCGCACAGAATCAATACTATCATCGACAGTGACATGGTGATGGTGCTGGACAAGGGAGAGCTAGTCGAGTTTGACTCACCAGAGGTGTTGCGCAACAGACCATCCAGTATCTTCTACTCTTTGGTTCAAAAGTCTGAGATGGAACATTAATCAATCAATAATTAATTCAATCAATAATAAGTATATAACTTAGTAATAAATTATTCAATGACCAAAGTGTTGCGGGTATTGCAGTTCGTTGACTGACCAAAATACTTAATTAATTAGGTTGTAGTATTAATAATCATCAACAAGATGTGATGAACATCGACTACAAGTTTATTATTATTATTATTATTATTATTGGGGGTCACCCTCCTTGATCAGGTGCATTATTCCAGGTTTAGTGCGAAGGTCGCGTAATTTGAAGGATGGTCATTCATGAATAATCAATCGGTAGTGGACAATCAGACCAAGACCCCGGGGTCCGCCACGATCAGTGAATTTGGTGTAGGTCTAAAAAAAACAATACCCAAAAATTAAGTAAAAAATCAAATCTTTGAAAATCCAAGGTAGTTTGATGTTGATCACATGCAAAAGAGTATGTTTGGGGTGATTCCATTGGTCCCCTACGGCGTTGCAGTGAATAACCGAATAACTTCTGCTCCTCTGTCCATCAATCAATAACTCTGACAGACACTCATCACTAATCAATCAATCAATCAACACACACAAACACACACAGACATAAGAATACAAATACACACACAAAGGGACATTATTTGGTCTCCACACTCTCGCCAGTCCATTAATTAATAAATCACAAAATTTATTAATCTCACATCTAATCAGAACAACATATAACTTCACATCACATCACATCAAATCAAATCAAATCATTCCATTTATAATAAGACATTAACATGGAATATAAAAATAATATTATTGCATTGTTGTTGTTATTTATCCTTTCATTTGGATTCAATCAAATTGTTAATGGAGCAACAACACCAATCATATCACCAGTAAATGGACATTCATACTACCAAGGTGATTCAAGTCCAAGAGATACTGCACGTTGTCCAAATGGAGGGTATGTATTTGGACAAACTCATCAATCAAACTAAAACTCACACTTAATCAATCAATCAAAGATATATAGCAACATTAGATACTGTTGCAGAGAATCAATGGATAATAGCAAATCTAATGACAGGCAATGAATTTTATCATATATCAGGCAGTTCAAGTGATAAAGGATTCACATTCACACATGATTATGGCAATAATGTTGGTTTCCAGTATTATGATGGTGTAGCAGATCGTTGCAAGACCAGTTGTTTATGGCCTCCAAGACATCCAACATTCTCGGCGACTGCCAACAAGATGGTGATGAGCAATGTGAACTTTAAGGGCTTCCAACAGAATGATGATCCAGCAAATTCACACGCGCCAATATGCGAGATCAACACAGCCAATGACTGGGAGCCAACAAACACCGTGGGCACTGATGGTGGTGTCGTCACTTTCAAGCGAATCAGCACGCCGCCTGCCCCCATCGGTGGTCCACTCACCTTCACCAACTATGCTGACAACACCCGCAAGTTCACTTGTCAAATCCCCGCCGGTACCATGGCCACCTTCACCTGCGCCATCCCACCTGGCACCGGCTATTGGACCATGTTAAACAGTACCATGAATATATATCATCAATATGAACGTAAGTATCTCGGTCACACACTGGAACTATTCCAATCACACACTATGGAATGATTCCAAACAATCACTAACCCTCTGGACACGTGATCAATCATATTTAGCACCCTTCTTATCTTATTCATACTTGACACTTGGTGCAACTCCATCGGTGACGATTGTAGGTGGCAACTTTGGAATTGATGCCTCAAAGATCCAGGTCACTTTTGGACTCAATGATGAGAGACCCTGCACTGGTGTATCATTTGTGGTTAATGCCATTGGTGTGGCAATCACCTGTACACCAGACTTTAGAAAGCCAGATGTCTTGCCAATCATTGTCACAGTGGATGGTGTATCATATCGTTCGTACCGCGTGCCATTCGTTTACCAGAACGGCCCTGTGCCCTACCTGTACACATTGATGAAGCCACTGACCGACCAAGCCACCGGACTGCTCTACGCTCAGAAGCGATCGGCTGGCACCTATGCAAGCTTCCTCGGTGCGTTCGCCGACGCCAACACCTTTAACTTTTTCAACACGATCAGGACTTCAGGAACAGAGGACAATCAGATGGCCGACTATGACACATTCATGGGCATCAACCGAACTGGTGGCCAGTTCTTATGGAACAACGGACCGTACAATGGCCAGGCCATGACACCTTATGGCGCACCCAGTGTCACAGCCGACACCTCAAGGATAGAATACTATATTAATGTCACAAACAGCCAGTTGAAGCCACTGATTACCGACATCTTCCTTTCAATCTTGGTCCAATATGCCAACACTGCCCCGCTCACCAAGCAACCACCATTCGTTGGTATCCCCACGTCTGGCGCCACAATCAATGTGACTGTTAGCAACTATGGACTGCTCTACAGCAAAGTCATTGCCACGATGGGTAACAACAATTTGGTCGTCTCCACCCCCGACGCACGCACGCCCCAGATCAAGAGTCTCGTCATCCCTCCCGGCTACATCACCTCAGACATCAAGCTCACAGTCGATGGCTACACCCCCGCCCAGATACTCACAACTATTGGATATGGTGCGCCGAGCATCACATCATACACGACCAAGACACTGACAACAGGTGGCTCCACCACACTCCAAGGCAAGAACTTCTTCAATGACCTGACCAACATGACCGTCACCATGGACGGTGTGGCGATTCAAATCGCCAAGGCGTCCAATACCGACATCCAGGTGACCATCCCCACGGGCACTGGCAAGCATCAGTTGCAGGTGATACTCGGTGGTGTGGCCTCGTCCAAGTTTGCCTACGACTACGCCGCCCCCACAATCACCAACACGAACTTGGACAAGTTTGGAGTGTTTGTGATCCAGGGTACATCATTCGGAAACAACCTTACTGCGCTATCAATCGAGGGCATGACCTACACCAAGCTATTCATCATTGAACCACATGTATCGATTGGAGTGTTGGTCAGTGCTCCTGGTAACTACACAATCCGCGTCAATGTTGATGGCGCATACTCCACACCACAGCTTGTGACAGTCACTGCCTTTGTCCCCAAGGTAGACACATACTCGGACATCGAGTTCGGTCAAAATGGCAACGTCACTCTCTATGGCAACTTCTTTGTCGATGCCTCCGTAGCCAACAACAATGACACCAGATCACCAATCAGACACTACTCCTCTGTGGCGTCGACCTCAGTTACAGACGGTGCCGCTGGCAACATCACAGACGTCAGGGTGACCATTGGTGGACAGACATGTACCGTGTTGGTGTTCCTCTCCAACAAGATTGTCTGTTTGTTCAATGCCAGTGTGACACCAACCAACAACTTCGGCATGCCCATCGTGTTCACGATCTTGAGCACCAATCAAACATTCACTCAGGACATCTTCTACTACTATCAAGCCAAACAATGTCCATCATACCTTGGTCGTCTCTGCAATGGCCAAGGCACATGTGATCCCAAGACTGGCCAATGTGGCTGTGTTTTGCCATACGGCAGCGCAGACTGCTCTGTCAAGATGTCTACGTCCGAGCCACCTGTCACACCAGTTGTCTCTAACACAGCCGTCACATCAATCTCATCGTCATCAGTCTCGTACGATGTTGGAGTGGAGTACATTCGCGAGGTCACCACCGGTGGTCCATCAAACGTGTTGTCGATGCGTAATGCAGTATGGAAGGCCGACACATCCAACCCAAACAAACAGAACTTTATCGCCACGTTCCCCAACAGCACATGTGTTGTCGACGTCACAACCACACTGTTCAATCGATCGCAGACCGTTGAGTTTGCCGGCGAGTCAATGTCGATATCCGCCAACTCTGTCAAGTACCTGATCACAATAACTGGCTTCCCATTCGTGTCCAAGTTGAACTCGCTGCAGGTGGTGTATCGCGCCAACGCGGCGTCGGCCACCAACCAAAAGGCCAGCCCATGTGCCAAGGTTGTCCAGACCAACGACACGGACTGGTATGAGATCCGCTCGCAAAACTCCATCCTGTCGGTGCGTTTCTCAAAGCGCGCCATCGTCGACGGCAGATATTCAACAGCAAGTCTGGCGGCTCTCCTCCCGACTGATGAACTCTACGCAATGTCCTCCTCAGTGGACAAGCTGATGGTATTGACTGCCATGGAAGTGCCACCATTCGACAAGACTCTGGTGGTCGATCCCAACGTCGCAATGTTGCTACGTGAGGACAATGATGAGAGCATCTGTCCATCGGGTGGTAACAAACGTACATGGTTGCTGCCAGTCATTGTGGCGAGTGCTGTTGTGGGTGCAATCATCATAGTTGTGGCCTCAATACTTATTGTCCGTCGTGCACTTATGGGTCGACGACTCAAAGATGTTGTAATGACCTCAATAAATAAGTAAGGAAGGAACCCTCCCCTTCATTGTACATGTAATAAACTTCACCAAAGGCAAGACATCCTTGTTTCCATCGCTGAAAACTTTAGCATCTGATTGTTTGGAAGTGTGTGACTTGGTTTGGTCCACGTTCATTCTGCATGTTGGACTGGTGTCTACTATTTGGCCTCCTATTTCACCAACATAGATTTGGGTTCGGGAATCGATCCTTAGATCTAAATACAAATACAAATACAATGGAGATTACTCCAGACTCAATCAAGTGCGTCGCGGTTGGAGGGATATATGGTCCTCAGAGGAAACAGGGAAAGGCAGATGAGTACAAGATTCAGATGATAGTAGACAACATCCCATGCACCATCACCTTTGTTGATGCCACTATCACTGAAGAATACAACCCCAAGCTCTGGGAGGAGGTCATCTACCCAGGTACAGATATACACTTGGTTGGTTGCAATCCACACTACCTATTAACACTTCCAGGATTATGGACCGTGAGTATCCCTTTGTATAGTTGAGATGTCCTCATCTTTGTATTGACAAGACTCACCCATATAAGGATGTCTACCATATCTGTAATCACGGAGGATCAAAGTTGACACCACGATTGATGGTTGGTTTGACAGATGAAAGACGAGACTACAAGGAGTTTATAAAGAGTAAGCCATTGGAGCAGTATGGCGTCCAATCGATAAGGTTACCGAGGACTTCATCAAAAAGGATTTACTGGAAATTCAAGCAATCAAGTACCTCCAGCAGCCAACCTCTCAAGCAAGGCAATGGAGGTCGTACTTGAAGAGGCTGTCCGTCATCTACCCAGGCACAGATATCCACTTGGTCTGTTGCAATCCACACAACTTCCTTACACTTTCGCAAATGTTCACAGTGAGTCCCCATGAAAGCCTTGTTTAGATGTTCTAATATTCAAATTGACCATACGCACTCCATCAAAGAATATCTACCATATATGTAATCACGGAGGATCAAAGTTGACACCAAGATTGATGGTTGGATTGACTGATGACCGAGACTACAAGGAGTAGGAACGGTCTCATCCCGTCACTGCTCTCTGGCGTCCAATCGATAAGGTTACTGAGGACATCATCAACAAAGAAATACTCCACATTGAGGCAATCAAGTACCTCCAAGCAGCCAACCTCTCGAGCAAGGCGATCGAGGCCGTCCTTGAAGAGGCTGTCCGTCAAGTGAGAATCCATCGCGCAAAGAAACCAGATATCGTGTCAACTTGCACACTGTTATAAGTATGATCGAGTTCATTGCAATCGGTGGAATATATTTTAGATATAAATAGTAGTACTTTAATATGAAGATATGGTATTGGAATAGCCCCAGTGATTGGCTGATGTTATGGTTGAGGTGGAGGTGAAGTCATTGTCATCATGTCGAGTTGTTGTTGTTGACAAAGTTGAAGTGTTGGCGGTCGGTCCCTAAGAGTAGATTGATTGATGTGTACAGAAAGAAAGGTTGAATGAATGAATGGAAAGGAAGATCAGTTGAATGTCTCAATACGCTCTTCGATGTTGGTACGGCAGACTGGACATCGTGTCAACACGTTGGAGCATTTGGAACAGAGACTGCTGTGGCGACAGGGCATGAGCACCGTGTTTGGCGGTCGCTCCGTGCATATTATACAGTTGTTCTGGTCCTGTAGCAGCTCCTTCTCCTTCTTGAGAATGTTTAGCTGCTTCTTCCACTCCTCCTGTTTGATCGCACTGAGCTTCTGAATGCCCCGCTGGTGGACCTCCTCGAGATTACTCAGTGCCTCAATGTCCAGACCTTCCAACCTGTTGCCAGAGAGCTGTTGGTACCGCAGCTCGACCGACTCGAGCTTCTTGGTGCTCTGCTCCACCTTTTGTTCGTACTCTTCGCACTTGGCGCGATGTTGGTCGGGCGGGACGTACGAACTGATCAGAACATTGATCTCCTCGACCTTGCGCTCGAGCTCGCGGCGCCATTGTGACTCGTTGTTTTGCTGCTTCTCGATGCGCTTGGCGCGCAGCTTCTCCAGGGCGCGCAGATGAATGAGCTCCAGGCGATCATACTCCTCAAGCTCCAGGTCGTCGACTTCACTGTCGCCAACCAACTGGTGATACTGCTTCCTCAGAGTGTTTAGGTCGTGCTGCTTGCTCACCTCCTTCTCACGCTTGAGTAGTGTGCTCTCCATCTCCTTGAACTGGGCCGTCAGCTTGCCGACTTGATCCTGTAGCTGGGCGTTGCTGAGGTTCAGCTTGGCCACGCGCTCTTCGAGCTGCTGCTTCTGCTTCTGCTCCGCCTTGACCAAACTCTCGAGATGCAGACGCTTGTTCTCAAACTTGATCTTCTCACTGCTCAGCTGGTCCTCCATCTTCTTCTTGGCGCCCAGCTCCTTCTCTATGCGCAGGTCCGCCAGCAACTTGTTCGATGTCTCCACGGCCAGACTGTCGCGCAGTACCTTGATCTCATTGTCCTTCTCAAACAGGCCGAGGATCTTCTCGCTGCCCATCTTGAGCGTGTTGAACGCTGCGCTGCCCGTCGATGTCTTCTTTGACTTCTTCTCCTTCTCTAGCTTGCTCATATCAATCACCATTGATGTTGTGGGCGGTGTAGTCTGCATCTGTGACTGAGCCTGTGGCTGAGACTGCTGTAGACGCTCTGGTGATGGGGTGGGCGATTGGAAGCTGTCACTGGTGATCTGAATGGTGTTGTTGATGGGTGAGGAGGAGAGTGGCGATGGAGATGGCGACGAGGATGATGAGGTTGTTGTGATTATTGTTGATGTTGCTGCCGTCGTAGTTGTGGTTGTTGTGGTGTTGACCGCGACAATCTGAGGTGATGGTTGTTGAGCGGTGGAGGACGACACTGGCGCCACGGCACCACCATTGTTGTTTGTGGTAGTCGTGGTCGTCGAGGTTGGAACCATTGTTGTTGTGATTGGTGTAGCAATGGTCTGTGTTGTTGTCGAGGACATTGTCGCTCCATTGTTTGGAACGGCGGCAGCAGCAACAACAGTTGTAGCCGCGCTACTGGTGCTCGGCGCAGCAGTGGCAGCCTGAACGGGCGGGATGGCCATGAGGGGGGCGTCGTCGGACGCCTCAAGTATCAGCGCATCGCTGAGCAGGATGCCTGAGCCCGTGCCACCATAGATGAACACCTTGTTCTGACCCATCGAGTTTGCCGTGTGTCTGAAGCGCGGATGAGGATTCTCCATGCCAGTTATCACTGGCTGCTCCCAACGCAAGTCGTCCAACGACAGCGCATGAACATCGTTCAAGAAGTTAGAATCAGATCCACATCCTCCAAATATCACCAACTTATCGCCCATCAATGTAGACGAATGTCCTGATCGAGGCTTTGGTGTATTGCCCTTGCATTCCAACTTTCTCCAAACTAACTTGTCTGTTTGATTTGATTGATTGATTGAGTGAGTGAGTAAGAGTGATCGATTGATTGATTGAATTGATGTTGATGATGACATACCTAGATCCAAGGAATATAGATCATTATAATACTTCTTGCCATCGAATCCTCCAAAGATATACATTTGATTGCCAACGACAAAGGATGAGTGTGATCCACGAGCGGGTGGTACGATACCATCACATGTAGGTTGATCCCATGTCAGCGTGTCGATATTGAACGTCAACACCGTGTTGTAGTATTTACTACGTGAGCTGTTGTGTCCACCAAAGACGACGAGCTGGTTGCCGTGCGCGACGGCGGTGTGACCGGCGCGACCCTCTGGCGACTTGTGCTGATGCTGCATCTTGATCCACTTGAAGCGATCGGCTCCACTGTGCTGCAGCACCGTAACGTCCGAGAATGGTTTACTATTGGCACGTCCACCAAATATAATGATCTGTTGCTGTCCGAGCAGTGTGGCGCTGTGGCCATAACGTGCGGTGGGCGGCGTGCCCTGCGGCTCGACCTTATTCCAACTGTTATTATTACTATTATACAGCGTAAGATCATTGAATGTCTTATTGCCGTTGCCGCCAAACACCAAGAACTGGCCCAATGGCAAGGCGACACATGTATGTCCCCACCTGGCGTCAGGCGATCCTCCCGAGCCGAGTCTCTTCCACTCGAGCTTCATCTTTTCTTAATCTCTAATATGTGTGTCTACCCTGTAATATTATGTTCTGTTCTTTACTGTACTTTATGAATGAAGATATATATATATAGTAATATTATATAAATAGTAAATGATTAGCAACTAATGATGCTGTTATGTGTGTGTGTGTTAAGATTGAACAATACGAAGAGTTGTAAGAGCGTTGTTGATCAACAACAATGTGGAGAGTGTGAGAGAAGAAGAGAAAAGACACCAAACCCAACTTTTTATAATTTTTATTGTTTTTTTTTTTTGAAACACCATCCTTGTGTGGGTTGGAAGCATGCATTCAAACAAACTAAGTCAAACAGACCAAGATAGATCATCATGGATGCTGTTGTTGAACTCGAACTGGAACAGTAATTGACCATTGTGAAGAGACGAGCCAACACAATCATTGATGGACAAACGTATCATTCTTTGCCAATATCTATAGATATCCATAGTTATATAAGTACATTTCAATCTTGTAATGTCATTATCTTTGTGTATCTCTTTCATTCATTCGATAGTTGATGTGATGTTGGAATGAATGAAAAACTTTGGTCGAGATGACCTTGGTATGAATGGATGGATGGTGTTCAGGAGAGAGAGTGTGAACAATAATGAGATGAGGTGCTCACTTCTCTCTCCCGCGCGCATCCTTTGAGTTGAGTTGAGTAGTGAGGTGCTAATAGATTGCGAGAGATCGACAAAGTTAGTTAGTTAGTCAGCTGAGTGAATAAGAAGGAGAGAGATAGACATAGATGTATAAATAATATTAGTTAGTTAGTTTGTCAAGACATCTCATTCATTCATTCATTCATAGTATACGCATCACGCAATATCATCACATAATATTATAACATAGACACAACAACAACAACAACAACAACATGAGGATACTAAAGCCAACATGGATAGAGCATAATGGTAAATAATAATAATACATACATTATGAATGAATGATCAACATTACAAACAACAACTAACAATGTTATATATCTATAGGCTTCCCAATATTCACAGTTGATATACATCCTGATGGTACAAGGTTCGCCACTGGTGGCGGTGATAATAGAGTTAAAATATGGAGTATAGCACCGGTGGCATTGTTGGAGGCCGAGGACGACCCGAGCGTGCCCAGACTGCTGAAGGCCATCGATGCGCACTACGCCCCAGTCAACTCGGTGAAGTGGTCGCGGGACGGCCGCTATCTGGCGTCGGGCTCCGACGACAAGACCGTCCAGATATGGGGTCTGTCGTCATTTGGCGCCGGTGTCTCGTTTGGCGGTGGCAACACGGAGAAGACCATCGAGAACTGGATCAACGTTGCCACTCTACGCGGTCACACCGCTGACATCAGTGAAGTTGCTTGGTCATTCGACGGCAAGATGTTAGCAACATGTAGCTTTGACAAGTCTATCATCATTTGGGATTGTACATCAACATCATTCAGTAAGTGAAGTGAGGTGAGACGAGCCGTCGAGTCGAGGTCACTGACTAACACTCAATCAAACAAATAGAGATGATCAAACAGTTGAGTGAACATAAAGGTATTGTGAAGGGATTGGCATGGGACCCTATTGGTAGATACCTGGCGACACAGTCTGATGACAAGTCGGTCATCATCTGGCGTTGTTCAGATTGGCAAGTGGAGACAACCATAACAGAACCATTCCAACAAGAGAACACTTCATTCTTTCTACGACCTTGGTATGATATTATATGATATGATTATTCATTCGTTCAATCAATCAAACTAACTCAATCAATCAATCAATCAATCACAAGTTGGTCCCCTGATGGTCAAACATTATGTGCACCTCATGGGGTCAATAATCACTCACAGACTGCGGTGATCATACAGAGAACGAGTTGGGAGGTTGGTTGTGCATTTGTTGGTCACAAGAAACCAATTTCAATCGCACGTTATAGTCCAGTGATCTTTACCATGGGAAAGAAACATACGCCATACTGCTGTATCGTGTTGGCCGGACTGGACAACACTATCACGATGTGGTCGTCGGCCACGCCTCGCCCGGTGATGGTCACACGCACATTATTCGAACAGTCGATACAGGATATCTCATGGGCACCCGACGGACACTCGATGATCTGCTGCAGCACCGATGGCACGGTTGGCTTCATCGAGATGACGCCCGAGGAGATTGGCGGCACGCCAATGCCCACCGCCGAGAAGGAGCTGTTCATCAAGAAGGCCTACGGCGATGCGGTCAGGATTGGCGCCGATGGTCTGATCATTGGCATGTCGGCATCGCACGCGCTTAACGGTGGCGCCAGTCACTTGATGCTGGCCGAGAACCCTGACCAGCTGGCGATGGAGGATTCAAACAACGACAGACCAAGCTCTTCAAAGTCCAACAATGGTCACGGGGGCTCACAGCCACCCGCCACGCCCATTCAGATACACCCGACACAAGTCGCTATGCAGAAACAGACGCAGACAATCGTTGGCGGACGCAGGAGGATCACGCCACTCAATCTTGGCGGATCGAGCGCCGATCAAACCATCACAAGACCCTCGCCCGTTGCCATCCCATCACACATCCATCTCAACACTGACAGCTCAAAGACTGGCAGCAGTCCCTTTGCCACACCAACAAAGCCAATCAATGGAGTATCGACCAGCAATGAGAGCAATGGCAGCGCAGGCAAGAGTACGCTCATGAGCGGTCTCGAGGCAAGAGGCATGGGCATGGGCGGTGATGTGAGCATGACCGACATATCACCTCCAAGGCCACCTTCAACAAAGACTACACCAAACAAAGATACTCCAGCCCCAAGCACTGGCAAACAATCATCATCATCAACTACATCGACGACAGCGACGACAGCAGCATCACCTGGATCAGAGCCAGAACAAAGAGGTGAACGTGCAGTGGCAAAGAGAAGAATGACAGAGCAGCAGCAGCAGCAGTCAGAGACGACATCAAAGAAGGTCAAGTCAAAGTCCACCAACAAGGACAAGACACCAGCCGAGAGCGCACCAAAGACCACGACAATCGCAGCGACAAGCACACCAGTGTTGAGCTTCGCCGAGAACAACTCAGCACTGTATTTGGCACCGGCCACCGCTTCCAATCACATCTCCAAGCAGCTGACAGTACTTGATTCGCTTCTGTCTCCATATGGCGGCGCTAGCAGTGTGATCAGCAGCACAGCATCATCATCAGCATCGACCACCAACGTCAGTTTAGATATATCCATTGTCGAACAAGAGCTGCCCGACAACAGTATGGAGTACTTCTCAACGATCAGATGTCTGGCCGACGCCATCCTATGGGAGAACAAGATCAATGGCAAAGTGTGCATTGCCACCGGTAACGCACAATGGTGTGCAGTTGCCACTCAAGAGGCCATCCTACACATTTACAAGAACAATGGTGCATCAGTAAGTCATGTCTATTTGATCAAAAGGCGATTGATGACTAACATTCAATCAATCAATCAAAACTAGTTAATGCCAAACATTGTACTTAGGAACCAAGTGGCGTTCCTGGAATGCAATAGGTCTTCACATCTGATGGTGATTACCATCGATAGGTACATCAGTGTGTGGAACATCACAAAGAGAAAGTATGAGATATCCAACAGGGAGTTGCCATTCTTACTAGGCAACAACAACAGCAACAGCAACAGTAATGGCGCTAACAAGGACAAGTTAACCATCAGTATGTCACCCAATCAAGCAATCAATCACTCTTACTCAATCCCTCATATTAATCAATCACTCTCCCTCTATTAGAACATACATTCCTGACAGAGGAGGGTAAACCAATCATTACACTGTCTAATGGATACAGCTATGTGTTCACGACGGGCATTGGAGAGTGGATACAGATTACCGATAGATTAGGTTCTCTTTCGGAATTCAATAGTAGTGATCCTACCGGCATTGGTATCCTCTCAAAGTTACAACAACAACAACAAGGCACGCGACCAACCTCAATGACCTCACTCTTGGCACTCTCCAACCAGCCAACCTCTGCCCAGCCCCAGATCACAACAACCTTCCTCGAGGTAAGTGATTCCAACATCAGCTCGCATGATTGAGTGTGACTAACTAACCAACCAATCAATCAAACAGAAACAAATATGGTTGGCAATTGTGCTGGAGAGCCCGAATGAGTATAAACATTGGATGACGACTTATGTGCGATTCTTGGCGAATAATGGCAATCAAGTCAGACTGCAGGATCTGTGTAATGATCTGTTGGGACCATCAAACTCGCCCAGGATCGATGTCTGGGAGCCAACTATATTGGGTCTAAACAAACGCGATCTACTCAAAGAGCTATTGCCTATCATTGCCAGCAACAGAAACCTTCAAAGAATGGTTGGCCAGTACAAAGAGTCACTATCATCGTTCACCAGCAACAATCCACTTGACATCCTATTCAGCTGAGATCCTTCTTCATGAAGGAGAATGATTGGTCATTGCGAGAATAAACTTGCCTAAAGTCCTCGGGCTGGTCGAAAATGATGCAGAGCTGGTTGTGATGTGTTGGTAGCTTTGGTTCTGCTCCTCCTCCCCTGTGCATCTTTTTGATTCAGATTGAGAGCCAACGAGGTTTTGTTCGCAGGTGTGATGATTATAATCTTGAATGCTTTATTGATGTGAGAATGGAACCATGGAACTAGGATCCAGGTTAGAGTAATAAGGTTTATTAGTGTTGATCATACCTAGTAAATGACATGGCCAAGGTGACAACGTCATCGGAGTATTTAAATAGAGATGTTGGAATCTGGCGACTTCTTTAGGTCAACTGAAGCAGGTGTCTCTTCAAAGTTCTCCATGCCATCATCATACTCCAAGCTACCTGAGAGGGGAGCTTCACCTTTGGGATAATCTTTACCTGGGGGACTGGTAAAGTACTTGGATAACATATCGTATGTTTGATAACCTGTTTGAATAATTTTGATCAGAGTCTGTTTGTTTTCCAGGTCGAGTAGAGCCTCCGAATCACGGAAATTCTTATTTGCTCCTCCAGCTGTCGGCAAGAAGTCTGGGAGAACCGTTTGGATCTTGTTCCGGTACTCTCTGTTGAAGTAATCGTAGTACTTCTCCACGTTTGCTGGTTTGAAAGGGTGATCGGTCTTGAGTAAGTTGTTCTCGAGATGCAGATTGAAGACGAAGTCGAAATTGAACTTGAGCCTGAGCCGAATGAGTTTCTTGGCGCTACTGAGGGGCAGATCCTTGAGCTTCTCCAAAAGCTGATCTGGGAATTGATCCTCAATAGCTTTCTTGGAAGAGACCATTCCATAGTATACATCGGTAGTAGGCTCCGACTTTCCCAAGTCTATTACGTAGTCGGTAACGAAACGGACACATGAGTACATGGATATGCTTTGGTTGGTGCAAATATCGTAGAAGTCAAAGGTCTCCATATCGAAGAGGTAATTCTTGAAAGATTCGGTTATGATGTTGGTGTTCATAAAGTTGGTGGAACAGGCTTGGCGGAGTTCCATTCCAGATTGGTGGAAGGAATTCATATCCGCAGGCCAGAGACAATGTTGGCGCGAAGTGATCTTTTTTGAATCGGTTTCGTAGGTGAACAACTGCCGGGCGTCCAACCTGCCGCGGTCGCCCTTGACAGCACGTTCCACAACGTGGAGGTTCCCAAAGTCCTCTAAGTTTCCAGAGCCACAGGAACCAATGAGAATGTATGTGTGGTCAGGGTTGGTTGCGAGTTTGGAGAAGATGCCGTAGAAGTTGATGTCGCTGTCGTTGATAAGGTAGATTGGAAGTTGGAGAGAGGATTGTCGTTGCTTTGACCTGTCCAACCGGTACAAAAAGATCCTGTACTCGTAAGCATCTACTTGTTTGATATCGTTGACAACACAATAATCGCTGTGTAAAAGGTAGCTGAGAAACTTGTAGAACTCAAAGAGTTTAGGAAAGATTAGGTATAACATCTTGTGAGAGAATGAGAATGCAAACAAGAATGAACAGACTGGTTTGAATCATCTGAGGAAGACCCAACTTTCTTCCAAATCACCAATTAAATAATTATTATTTAAAATTTTACTAAAAGGACCTCTTTTTGATTGGGTTGGTTGGGCAAAGTGAGCCCAATCACGATCCCACATCTACAAAAAGCTTTCCTGACACTGTTTTGTGGATGTGGTTTGATTGGAGTAAGGAAAAAATCCGATCAAGGTGGATTACAACTCATCACTTGTATCGATCCATTGTTACAATATCCTACTATTGTCATTCAAACTTGTCGTGCGCCACACTACTGGAACGGCTACATTCACAACACTGTTTTGTGGATGTGGTTTGATTGGAAAACGTAACAATGGATAGATACAAGTGATGAACAGTGGATTGTTTACCAGTCAGTCTACTCATGTGGCAAGATCAACATGATTGATAAGTTCTAGCACTGATAAACTTTGATAGATCAAACAAATAAACATTGAGGCTGTCATTATGTAGTATGGCAAGATGATCATCTGATTTATGATGCTGAGGACAGTCGGTCCGACAAGATGGTTTTCCAAGTATCACTCCAAGGTCGTCGCAGGACGACGCAGGAAACCACGCCTGCCATCCAAGCGCACATCAAGGAGATGCTGTCCAAGTATGGAAACATAGTGATCATTAACCTGCTCAGCAAGCCGATTTGCCAAGGCGTACTAGGAACTCAACAACTTGAAAGCCGACACCATGACCTACGACATCAATGAGCAGCTCAAGGGCAATCGCAGGGACTCCCTCAATCGACTACATTAACTGCAGTGGCAATGTGGGCTACTTCTTTGTGACGAACCAGCGCGTGGTCACCAGTCGCCAGAACGGCACGTAGCGCACCAACTGCAAGGATTGTCTAGACGGGGCCAACATCGGGCAGGCAAGTCTGCCCAGATCGTCTTTGGACAATGGCTTTAGAGCAGGTACCAGTCCATGAATCATTGTTTCACTCAGAGTTAACAACATTGGAACAGACCTATCCACCACCATTGGACACTCACAGGAAGATCGAGCACAAGTTGCTCTCTACTCTATCGCCAGTTGGTGGCTCACTCACTGTAAATAATGGTGAAGGCGCTGCACTCATTCAAATGTGATCAAGGCACCCTTCCAAGCGACTGATGATCAACAAGGCGTCTGAGTACTTCAAACACAATGCATCAAGATCACATTGAATTCACACTGGTGCACTGTCACAACAAGACTCATTCATTCATTCATCACAGTATTCCAGTTAGAACGATCGATGGTACCACACTTACTCAGCATAGTCAAGGCTCATCAACGTTGAACTTCATTGATGATGACACTGAGACTCAGAGATGTATTGAATGATACTAATTCAAATGGACCGTTAAATGGTCAATCTGTTAATTAAATATTTAAATATTTAATTCAAAATGAGTGTTTATAAGTGTGTGTGAGTGTGTGTGAGTGTGTGAGTGTGAGTGTGTGTGAGTGTGGGTGTGTCTCTACTCACCCACTCACTGACACTCTCATAGCGGTGAATGTCCTTGGACAAGTGGGCATTGACATCACTCATTACCTTATCACACTATTACATGTATGTACACATAAATAACATTATTACTATGTTATTATAATTCTATCATCATTCTAAATCATAATACTAACATTGATTCTCTCTCTACTCACCAACGATTCATCAATCAATCAATCAATATCAATCTATCAATATCATCAATATCATAGACTCTTTACTTCGGCTATTGCCAAACCATTATCTGCTATACAAGAATATCTTTCTCAACAGTGTTTTCCAACGCTACCAATCAATCTATCAATAATGAATAATAATAATAATAATAATCAATATATATACAATCCAGCCAAACTCATTCGACCTTTGTTCAACAGGCACATACCCAAGAACTTGTTGCTGGCCGACTTAAATCACAGGGTCATCACCCTAATAAGGATAGACTTTGACAAAAAAACAGCAGTCATCAAAATGTACCCAATTCTAAGTTTATTCGATAGTCGACCAAGGACATTGTTATTGGGCGAGGAATCTTCTAAAAAGGTGATTTATACACTTCTTGTGCGCACTGATGGAGTCCATGATCCAATTAGGATAACATATACACCACACAATGAGATCCATCAAACTCTATTCATTGGGAGGACAAACCTACCAGAGAACCAGTTGCCAGATCATCCCAATGGTCAACAGGAACCAATTCCAAATGGTAAGTATATATCAAATGAACTTGCATGCTACTGTCAAAAAATAATACTAACGATCCATTCAATCATCACCTTTGATGCTTCTCATCCATGTCACTCAAAGATATTGGCATCCAACAACAGCCACATGACCTCGGACCAATACCTGGAGACCAAGTGATGAAGACACAACCACCTAAACCATTCAATCATCCAGTCACCCAAGCAGACCCAGGCCAACACCACCTAGGAATCAGATACCAATATCCACCATCACCAGATGATGAGGTGGATGAGCCAGTCTTCTCTCCTCCGGTCCCTCACCTTTTCAACAAACAGTAATTTACCTCTATATATATTGCCGTCGATCAAGCAGATGAGTGATGGGTAAAACCCAAATATCTCTCGGCTGGCGATTGAAACCAATCAACCACCAACATCAACAACCAACAACAACAACAAATTCGATTACCAACGCACCAATCAGTGGTCCTACATCCATCGCTTTACCCAGATGACACAGTGGAGACGTTGTGATTCATTCACACGATGACCTGTCGTTGCGAGGTCTATTCCCTCCAAGTCATCCAGTGCCGTGCCAGTGCCGTGCCAGACCGAGTGCCATGCCGCCGAGCCAAGCCAGGCCAAGCCCAGGTGGACCTTTCCAGGACCGTATACTACTAACATTTCCTCCCATCACCATTTGGCCATCTCCGCAAGGGGGTGGCCGTGGCCCATCATGCAAGAGGGATGGGTCGGCCTGTCATGCAAGAGGGACGGGTGGGCCCATCATGTAAGAGGGGTGGGCACGGCCTGGGGACTACACCTGTCGCTATTAGACTTTGGGCAGCGTCGAGACAGGTATGGCAGCAACTTTGTTGACTTTGAGAGTTTCTTCTCATTGTCACAAGTGCTGCCTTTATTTTTTTTTAAGCCGTTGGGCAGCAACCGTGCCCAGGCGACATCATTGAGTTGTACTTTTCCAATTGTTGTTATTCTCCTTCCAAGTCACACTTGCACAACTCCTGTCTTCGTTTATTAATGCTTTGATTATGATCATTCCAGTTGGATACACTCGTCAACTTGGCAGGATGGCTGCGGTCTGTCAATGATGGCAGCATGGCGGTGCGCTTGTCAGCGTGGCGTCTGTCCAGTTGGAGACAGAGGTTCTGGACTGTGGTCAACTCGAGATGGACAACTTGGCAGCATGGGGGCGCACTTGTCATCGTGGCTGTCTGTCTGGTTGGAGTCAGAGGTTGTCGACGGTGGGTCAACGTGGGAAGTCCTGGACCATTGTCAATGTGGCATAGTGGCAGTCTAGTTGGAGACAGAGGTTCATGACTGTGGACACCTTGACAGTCCAGATAGAGAAGAGGTCACTCAAGGCAGCATGGCGGTGGTTGGCGTTGGTCAGCATGGCGGAGTCATTATGGCAGCCGTCAGTCTAGATGGAGAGAGAGTCAGGGCAAATGGCGACCTCATTCTAGATGGAGACAGAGGTTCGGTGCTGGACAGCTTGGTAGCAAGGCGGTCAGAATGGCTGAGTCACAATGACGGCCGTCTGTCTAGTTGGAGACAGAAGTTCTGGGCTGCTGGGGACAGAGGCTCATGGCTATGGTCAACTTGGCTGGAAACACGGCGACCATCAGTCAAGATGGAGGCAGGTCATGGCTAGCACGGCGGCAGTCTATCAAGAGAGGGACAGAGGTTCATGGCTGTGGGCTGTCCAGTTGGAGACAGAGGTTCTGGACTGTGATCAACTCGAGATGGACAACTTGGCAGCATGGCGTCGCACTTGTCAGCGTGGCTGTCTGTCTGGTTTGAGTCAGAGGTGGTCATCATGGAAGCATGGAGGCGGTCAGCATGACGGTGGTCAGCTTGGAGGCGGTCAACGTGGCAGCATGGCGGCAGTCTAGATGGAGTCAGAGGTTCTGGGCTGTGGCCAACTCGAGATGGACAACTTGGCAGCTTGGTGGTGGTCAGCATGGGCAGTCAGTGGCGGAGTCTAGTTGGGGACAGAGGTTCATGGACTCAGGGCAGCATGGGAGGCCGTGGTCACTCAGGGCAGCATTGCAACTTCAGTCTAGATGGAGACAGAGGTTCTGGACCCTTAGCAAAATGGCGGACGACTGTACAGAGGGATTTAGAGTTCGTGGGTGTGGTCAACGTAGCAGCACGCCGGCAGTCAGTCAAGTTGGAGACAGATGTTCTGGGCTATGATCAACGTGGCTGGCAACACGGCGTACGTCTTGCTAGTTGGAGACAGAGGTTCTTGGATGTGGTCAACTTGGCCATGTAAGATGTCTGGCAACACTGCGGCCGTCTCGTTGGAGACAGAGGTTCAGGGCATCATGGCGGAGTCACAATGTTGGCAGTCTGTCTAGCTGGAGACAGAGGTTCTGGGCTGTGGACAACTTGGCGGAATGGCGGACGACTGTACAGATGGAGACAGAGGTTCGTGGCTGTGGTCAACGTGGAAGCACGACGGCAGTCTGTCAAGATGGAGACAGAGGTGGTGAACACTGACAATGACCACAACGGGCTTCAAGGCACAAGGTCAAGGTAGAAGAGAAGAAGAGAGAAAAGGGAAAGGTGTAAGTAAGCAGAGTATAAGTGAGCAGATTGTGATCGGTGGTAGTACTCACTCATTGATTGGGGAGACAGACGTACTGGGCACTCAAGGAAGCAATGGCCACCTCAGTCAAGTAGGAGACAGAGGTTCTGGGCTGTGGACAACTTGGCAGCATGGCGGACGTCTGCACAGATGGAGACAGAGGTTCGGTAAGGTGACTCAGACTTGGCAAGGACGACAGTGTCACCGCGGGCTTCAAGGCACAAGGTCAAGGAGAAGGCAGAGAAGAGAAGAGAAGAGGATAGTGTAAGTAAGCAGCAGATCAGATGGTGGTGCAATTAGAAGTGTAGTAGTACTCACTCATTGATTGATATCATAACTCAAACTCATTAGTAACTCATCAGCAGTAGTGAGACAACAAGGCAAAACAAAGTGAGTGATACATGTCAATGTGTTGTTTATTATTGTATGTATAAGCATAAGTAAGTAAGTAAGTATATATGTGTATGTGTACAAGTAGGAGAGAGTGAGTGCAATGCCAATGATATGAGCATAGACCCAGTGTCACAGACACATGTGGACCACATCTAACCAACCACCATTTTGAACTCAACCGTTAATTCGATTCGATTGGGCGCGATTTCAAATTCAAATTTCACTCACACTCATATTGAACTTCACCTTTTTAAAACAAGAGGTGTTTTTGTCACTCAAAACACTTCTGAAGGGGGAACAATCCCAAGATATTTATTTGTGAAGTGTTGGATACAATGATCATTGTCCAACACTTCATTCATTCATTCATTACAACCATCAGTACATATAATATGGTCCGTGTCTCGTCATGACTCGACCAATCAATCAAGATTGGCAAGTTGGACATGGACACCACCTCATCCAATCAAGTCAACTCTGCTTCAATCTAACGTGTCCTACTTGATGCAGGACCCGTGGCTATTAACAAAGACGTCCTGTCTGTGATGCTGAGGACAGTCGGTCCGACCAGATCTGGGTTTCCAAGTATCACTCCCAAATGCCTGGATCACCAATTAATTGATCATCTTTCTCTGTCACGAGTCTCGACTAAGATCCATGCATGGTGAGGTGCCATCACCGAGGATATCTTCCACAATTCAGTCATCAAGCAAGATCCAGCACATTCATCCTCAATGTACGCATTGACCACATCACCAGATGGCTCGACCACTTCAACATAGTTGCGTATAGCGGGTTCATCTTGGTCGCCATGATTCACCACTAGTGGTTGGCTATATCAACAGTACCAACTCCATCGGTTAGGTGGCGTTGCTTGGACTGGCCTTCCTTCCAATATGCGAAGGTTCCAGGAGCCCTTGACTTCAGCATAGACGCCTCACCACGAGTCATAATCCTTCATGGGATGCTTTAGCAACGTCCCAAAAGACAACACTCAGAGAATGATCAAAGTGGACAAGTATTGCTACACCGACCTCAATTCAAAGTTCACAAAGATGCAACGACGACAAGACCAAACAAAGGGACTTTCTAATCCTACAATGTTGCTCAGTCCTAAAGCTCTAAGGATTCATTGATGGTGAAGTGACTCGCGAGCTACTAACGATCTATACGTGCCACAGAGTGACCATATCATTCAAACGAAGATTGTCCACAGCGATTTTCCATTACCACGTTTGGACGTTGTTGTTCTTTGAGGATGTAGCATCGTTCTTGCCCTTCAACTCTATTTGGTAAGTCTGCCACGCGCCAGGTTAGTCCTAACTCAAACTCAATCAATTAATTGAATGAGTGAATGTATACCTACTCTTCGTTTCTCTCGACAGTCACAGGCAAACACATTTAGTCAACATGGCGCCAGTGAGAGAGACAATCTTGCGAGCAGGTACCAGTCCATCAACATTGTTTCACGCAGCGCGTTAACAACATTGGATCAAACCTGTCCAATAGGGTGTAGGAGCTGGAATGGCTAGTCAGTCAGTGAGTCAGTCAATCAGGCAGGTCGGTCACATCAAGGTCGAGCACATTAGTTCTCTATCGCCAGTTGGGATTGATGAACAAGACGCTAGGTCAACACCCACCCAGTCAGTCAGTCATTCAATCAGTAGTCTGTCCCAGCAAGATAGATCATAGCATCAATCCTCAGCCCATATTGGATGCGATGACCTCATTCAATCGATTAATCAAACATACATAAACAGGCGGACAGACAGTTAGAGACATTGAGACAGACAAACAGACAGAACACCACCGATCAAATGCAAGCTCATCAAGATCACAATGGACATCAGAGCAGTCTCTCACTACAAGGCTCATTCATTCATCAGAGTATCCAGTTGGAACGATCGTGCCTCAATCAAGGTCATCAACGTGAACTTCATGAAGATGACACTGAGATGGTATTGAGTGATACAAATTCAAATGGACCGTTAAATGGTCAATCTGTTAATTAAATTTTTTTAAATATTTAATTCAAAATGTGTCTTTAAGTGTGTGTGAGTGTGTGTGTGTGTGTGTGTGTGTGTGAGTGTGCGAGAGTGTCTCTATCCACCCACTCACAGACTCTCTCATTGCGGTGAATGTCCTTGGACAAGTGGGCATTGACATCACTCATTACCATATCACACTATTATATGTATGTACACTTATATAACATTATTACAATGTTACTAAAATACTATCATCATTTTAATTCATAATACTAACATTCACTCTCTCTCACCAATCAATCAATCAATATCAATCAATCATATTATTATTATTTATAGACTCTCTACTTCGGCTATTGCCAAACTATTATCTACACTACAAGAATATCACGTTAAACAGTGTTTTCCAACACTACTACGCCTTCTTCAACTCGACTTTATTATTATTCTTACAATGCAATTTAATTATATTCAATCACTCTATCCACCAGCCAAGCCCCTTAGACTGTTGTTTGACCCGACAGTTCCCAAGACCTTGCTTCTGGCCACCGAAAAAGGCACGATCATCAGGAAGTTCAAGGTCTTCATTGACATTGGCGCGACTCTTCTCATACGCCCATATGTCAAACCAATCAGACCACTGTTCGACAACAGGCGACCAAAGATTTTATTTGGAAAGGATCAAGACGGAGTCAGGTTCTCACGCAGGGTTCCTCTTGATGTCGCATTTGTCATTGCGAATACTGTCCCATACGCTCCTCTCAACCAGGAGAATAGTAATGTCCAACTCATTCACTGTATCTGTCTCAGGATATTACGATCGTTGCCTGTCTACCCCAGAAGGCAACCAGTATCCACCCCAAATCAAATGGGACCAAATCGTATGTTTACATCAAATGAACTCATTCATTCATTGATTGAGTGATGTCTGCCTGTCTGCTGTAAAACAAAGTACTAACCATCCTCGTCCATGTCCTTTTCATCCAAGACAATGAAATCAATCAACAACATTCCGACCTCGGACCGAGACCTGGAGACCAACTATATCCAACATTACCATCCAGTCATCCAGTCATCCAAGCAGACATTGGCCACCACCAACAACTCAGATACCAATATCCACCATCACCAGATTATGAGGTGGATGAGCCAGTCTGCTCTCCTCCGGTCCCTCTCCTTTTCAAATAGAAATTCACATCTAAATATCTTGCCGTCGATCAAGCAGATGAGTGATGGGTAAAACCCAAATATCTCTCGGCTGGCGATTGAAACCAATCAACCACCAACATCAACAACAACAACATCAAAGTCGAGTTACCAACGCACCAATCAGTGGTCCTACATCCATCACCCGAACCAGATGACACAGTGGAGACGTTGTGATTCATTCACACGATGACCTGTCGTTGCGAGGTCTATTCCCTCCAAGTCATCCAGTGCCATGCCAGTGCCGTGCCAGACCGTGTGCCATACCGCCGAGCCAAGCCAGGCCAAGCCGAGGTGGACCTTTCCAGGACCGTATACTACTAACATTTCCTCCCATCACCATTTGGCCATCTCCGCAAGGGGGTGGCCGTGGCCCATCATGCAAGAGGGATGGGTCGGCCTGTCATGCAAGAGGGACGGGTGGGCCCATCATGTAAGAGGGGTGGGCACGGCCTGGGGACTACACCTGTCGCTATTAGACTTTGGGCAGCGTCGAGACAGGTATGGCAGCAACTTTGTTGACTTTGAGAGTTTCTTCTCATTGTCACAAGTGCTGCCTTTATTTTTTTTTAAGCCGTTGGGCAGCAACCGTGCCCAGGCGACATCATTGAGTTGTACTTTTCCAATTGTTGTTATTCTCCTTCCAAGTCACACTTGCACAACTCCTGTCTTCGTTTATTAATGCTTTGATTATGATCATTCCAGTTGGATACACTCATCAACTTGGCAAGATGGCGGTTAGTCAATGATGGCAACACGGCGGTTGTCAGCGTGGCGTCTTTCTAATTGGAGACAGAGGTTCTGGACTGTGGTCAACTCGAGATGGACAACTTGGCAGCATGGCGTCGCACTTGTCAGCGTGGCTGTCTGTCTGGTTGGAGTCAGAGGTTGTCGACGGTGGCCATCTTGGCAGCATGGAGGCGGGCAACAAGGCGGGCGGTAGTCAACGTGGCAGTTAGTCAAGTTGGAGACAGAGGTCCTGGACTATGGTCAACGTGGCAGCATAGTGGCGGTCTAGTTGGAGACTGAGGTTCTGGGCTGTGTCCAACTCGAGATGGACACCTTGGTAGCATGGCGGTGGTCAGCGTGGCGGAGTCTGTCTTGTTGGGTACAGATGTTCATGGCTGTGGACASCTTGGCAGCATGGCAAAAGTCCAGATAGAGAAGAGGTTCTGGGCTGTGGCTGGCAACACGGCGTTCC